AAAATGTCATCGAACAAATTCAGTACAGGGCTAGAGCGCCTACATATTTTATACTGAATACCCTTGAAGGTATTTTAACAAGGCTGTTAAGTCCCCCTCATAAATGATTCTCGTTTGGAAATGTTAGCACAGTGAAGGACTTCAAGCAGGAGCAACTCTTCTCTCTCTAAAATTTTGATGCAAAAGCATGATTTTCATATATGCACTACTATATCATCAAAGCTCGTTGTGATGGCACATGTTGAAGCAAAACCTTGATAGGATTGTTCAGTGCCTGGATGGAAGATTACCCAGCATGCTGTGTATGCAGCCTCCAGTTGCACATTGGGGGACAAGAGGGATATAAATGAAACACATCCATGGAGGATGGTTGGGGTTTTGCCAGATGGCCCAGATAGCCACACATTCAAAGGCATCTTGTGACTCTTACATATCTGTGTTATTGGGCAGATTGGGCAAGTAACTTTGTGTATAAAGGGGCTCAGGTTACAGCATACTGTGTGGGTCATGGTAGGAGATTGCAGGAATTTTATTTTTTTAAAAAATGTTTATATTAAATGATTTTCTTAGGTGATAAAAGTACACACAGCATTCTGTTTTCAATTCATAAAGTCCTTTCTACAGGTCAGTTCCATTCAGTGTGAGACACTGCTTTTGTGTCAAGCAAATAGGTTATTTATTTATTGTTGGCAGTGCAAGGGATTGGAGGCCCCATGGTTTGTTGCAGTGTGTTTTATTTGTAAATACGGAGGGTCCACTTAGCCATATTGATTCGTATGCTGTCATGGGGGAAATAGCTCATTATCCTGTTGGGCTGTATGTGTCATAAAGGTGAGTCACATTGGGGTGAAGGCATCTTTTTGTTTCTCCCAGTGCTAGTTTAAATTTGTTGGTTAACTTTTCTAGTAGGGTAGTTTCCCATTCAGTTTGGTACACTGGTACCAAGTGGTCTATGTTCACTCCTGATAGGGCCCTCCAATGTCTCGTTTGATGATGAAAATTAATTTATATACCACAATTGTCAAGAAGGCTTCTAAGCGGCTTACAAGTATAAAATCAATCTTAAAAGAATAAACATTAGCAATGTGCACTGAATCTAGCTGCAGCCCAGCTCACAAACCAATCTGGGGCGACTTGGGTGGCTCTGGGCTTCGGCTGGATCGGGTTGAGACAGCCCTGGATCACCCCAGCCTGACCAATCGGGCTGTCAAAAGGTGTGGCAGCCAGGGGACCGGAGTGGGGGAAGCCGCAGACAGCCTCTGCAGGGTCTGCTTCACCAGGATATTCCTTGCAGAGAATTGAACCTAGAAGGATAGAACTCTCCATTCACTAAATTTAGTTCGGGCTCAGGTTGCCTGTGGATCAGATCAGAGGATGGTGTTTCGCTGGTTGTGCAGTTGAGTCATATGCATGTTTACTCAGCCCCACCCTGGCCAGACAGATTTACTGGGGGTTTCAGCCCCTTGGCTTGTAGTGGAAAAGGTATAATTTGTTTTTTACTGTAATATGATTCCTTTCTTGCAATTTTTGGTCACACACCAGAATAATCATAGAGGAAAAAACCAAAGCAAAGGGTTTTGTCAATCATCCATTTTAGGTATGACTGCCAATACAGGTTTGAGTGACCTGTGGGTGTTTTTTTGGAACTTGAGTCTTTCTGCTTTCATTTTTAAAAAAACACACACGAAATCAGTACTTTTCTAGCTCAACCTAATACGCTTGCAACATCAGACAGAAATGGGAAAACAAATTAAACCATTAAAGTGCTTGTTTTTATTATCATTGTTCCAAAGTGAATTTCAATAATGTTAGAACTAGTTTTAGACTTTTGAATATTTTGCACTGCCTCAACTGGCTGAAATACTTGTTGATGCAAGAGAAATACACACCAACCATTATTCAAGGTCCACATGGCTTTACATATAGTACATACCCTCCAACATTTCTCCGATGAAAATAGGGACGCCTAGACATGACTAAATGACAACAACAACAAAATTATTTGCGTGTGTGTGTGTATATATATATATGTGTATGTGTGTGTGTGTGTGTGTATAATAACAACAACAACAAAAAGGAAAAGTAAGACATTCTGGGATCAAATCAGAAACTGGGATGGCTTCTCTAAATCAGGGATGTCCCTGGAAAATAAGGACACTTGGAGGGTCTGACAGTACAACTGTGAGTACATAATGTGGCTTGGCACACATGTCTGTGATATACATAGAAATAAGAGCACAATACAGGCACAGCTAAACACATTAAAGTGCCATCATCCTCAGTGGGTGAATCCTCGTGCACTTAAATTACTCCCATTCACATAAATTGCACTTAAAAGTGTTTTACTTTTGGTTGGATCATCACCTATCTGCAGCCAAAGTTTGTAAGATAGCTGTCTGACTTTTCAGTACGCATATTTAACAGTGAAAATTTTCCATCACTATCATAACTCAGCTAAACACATCAACAGGATGCAAGTACTAAAATAATAAAAAAAATACAGCATCTGTGGCCCAGTGTAAGTACATAAAAGGATCATGCCGGAAAGTGGTTTCAGTTCTCATTCCTAATAATTTTACTCAGAGCAACAAGCGCCTTCAGATATTGAACCACTTATGGAAGCAATCTTGATGGGCTTTGCATTGTACCCATACACCTAATAGAAAATGTCCACCTACTCAAAAAGATTTGCATTTCAGTGTGAAGGAAGAAATCAGCAGCCATTAGAAATGAAATAACAGCAGACTGATAGGGCAAATAATCTACCATAGATGGTGGATGAATTGAAAACAAGAATACTGATGTTCCCAGAGCTTTTGCACATGCACGATCTAATTAATACTCACTAATTGTTATTAGTGTTGTTATTTCTATATGGCATGTGCAGGTCTGAGGTTCAGGAGATAGCTGAGGTTTGAATGAGGGATTCAACCTTGAGCCACCCTGATAAAAAAACAAAGTCTTGAAGGAACAATAGTGGTCACGAAGCTTGGGATCCCAGCCGACGCTGCAGTCCTATGCACCGTTACCTAGGAGTAATATTTATTGAACACAGTTGGACTTACTTCTAGGTAAAGACAGATGGGGTTGTGTTATAAATGCAGATGAGGGACCTGCCCCTCTGGCATTTTTCCTCCTAATATTTTTCTTTAATCAGCCAATTTCATCTATGGAAAAAATGGATTTTCCTTTCTCTTTTATTAATGAGATCAGCAGTTCCTCGCAGTCATGCTGCAACAGTGCTACCAAAAAGATAAAGCTTCTATAAGAATGTGTGCCTGCCAGCAATTACCATAGCTAGTAAAAATCTATATTTCAAGTACAATTGAGGACTGACAGGAACATGCCTAGGATTTTCTTTTTTGGAGGAAAGAGTTCTTTAGCTCAGAAGTAAACACGCACACACACACACAGCCTTTCCACAGCAACATAAACATGCACAAGAGCTACACAGATTTTGATGTTCAGCCTCCAGCGGCTTTATAATGTTCACCCACCATTATTAAATCAATACCCCCTTCTTTGGGGAGGAAAGGAACAGTTTATGGGAAATTTTGATAAAAACAAAACACCACCTGAAACGCCAGTCTTTACAGTCGGATCTTCCTTGGATGTACAACCACCTTTTCTGCTAATGCTCTTTAAAGCTAAGTATATTCTCGCTCCTCATGTGGTGCTTGTTTTGAGCAGAGAAAACAGCTCCGTCCTTTTGTGACAGAGAAAAGCTTATTTCTTCAAAGAAAGAGGAAGAAACAACTACCGAAGCTGTTTTGCTTTAGCTGGTGAAACGAGATCTAAGCACATGGTTACAGAAGGATGCTTCAGTTCACAGGGACAAGATTGCTTTCTTCACAATATGCTATGGAGCTCATTAGTATATTATTTACCCACAATACTTACAAGCTATCCTTCTCCTTCCTGTTTGGGAATGTTTACAGCAGTGAAACTTGAAAAGGCTCCATCTTGTTTGCAGTTCATTTGTACTGCAAACTTGTGACTGTGGTACGTAGATAAAACAAAGTCACCCGGTAGTCTTAAAATATTTATTAATTAAAAAAAAGTTAAAATATTTGTTTATACAAAGATGAGACTAATCTCATGCAAACTCTTCGCATACAGTAAAAATAACTCAAATATTAGTAGGATGGATTTACAAAATAACTTCTTTATAGTAGCTTTTTAATAGAGAAGTGCTGCGCTGTTCAGTGTGCTTGGAGCACCATCCAGAATAATTTACTTACAAAGCCATTTCTTTTCTTTTTTTAAAAAAAGATTTATACATTGTTCTATGGGGAAAGGTGCCAAGATTTTCACACTCTTCACTATGGTTAACAATTAATACCTTATTACTACTACTACCCATAAAACTCGACTTAGACCTATGAACATTGAGTAATGATATCCTCAATACCACTGAACCTTGGGACTATTGATCTTTAATGTACAAAGCTGCCCAAACACTGCTGTGCAGCAGATTCCTAAGCGCCTTTACTAGGAAGTAAGGTCCAGGGAGCTCAAGGGTTCCATACTTCCAAGTAAGGATGCATAGGAGTACAGCCATAGATATTTTTTCTTAAATGGTTAAAGAAAAAAAAGTATTGAGATCATTATGGATGGCATCTGCTTCTGCTTAATTACAAATCACATCGGATTTAGAATTTGTGTATATTACAAGTAATTTGCATAATTAAAACAATTAAGGGACTGACATATCATGGTAATTAGAAATGCATCAAACTTGAATGTTGTACAAAAGAGAGCTTCAATATGAAACATTAAGTCTCTGAGAATGAAGTATCCTACAGATTCCTGCACAACAGTCTTGGACATACTTGCACTGAACCTTCCTCTGTGCACAGATGGCAATTTGGGTTGTCTGGCTTTCCTCTAAATTGCTGGGATCCAAAACTCAAAACGGTGACACAAAATGCATGCCATTCATTTCTTCCGCTGTAGATGCCACAGTATTTGACTTGCGTTCTTTTCTGCGTGTCTCCTTTTTATCTCATTTTCCGTAGCCGTATCCTGTTCTCTTTGTCTCTCTTTTTAAGGATAAGTATGAATTGGTTGAAAAAATGCTCCTGGTCTTTCTTCTTCTGAACAAGCCGAAACCGCTGATCTGTGCCATATTTCTCTGCAAATTCCTTAAATGTTGTCCTGGGGAGCAGGTGGGGGAAACCAACATAAGCTACATTTTCACAAACCTCTTTGTTTGTCAATATATATATTCTAATTCTTTGGCCCTTCATTATATGTTCACCTTTCTGCATTGAACTCATTCTTAATGTGTCTTGTCATTGTCAGTAATGTTGGAAGTAGAAATGTGAAAGCCAAAATGTTGAAGTCTCATTGATCTACCCAACTTCTCATCCCAAGCCATTATTTTCATTCTGCAGAATGTAGACATACTTATCGATTGCAGGAAGCTTGATTAATAATTAGTTCACTGTGGACCATCCACAGTAATTGGATAGGATTCTCAAAAATTAAGAATGTAAATTCTTCTTTAGCTTCAGCCTGCCAATCGAAAGGATGTGACCCACATAATTTTAGCTGGAGTTAACAACACTATAAAAATTTACAAGGCGAACACTTTTGTCAGACTCCATTTAATGAAATGCCTTTTGACTCCAAACTGAGAAATGGGGATTGGATCTATTTATTTTATTTTATTGCCATGCACCCTTAGAAGGAACAAATCAGAGGCATAAATCTAGCATAGATGAATGGGGAATAGTGTGATTTTAACATATGGAAACTGAAATATTCGTTTATATTTGTGTTCCAAAAGGTTTAATTTTGTATTAATGTATTTCCTGTGATCTGTTCCCTGGCTATGAAAGCTAGCCACTCCTGAGCTTCAGTCTCAGTTCTCTTTGGATTCCCCACCCTCCTTTATTTTATGTTTCTGTGTGTTGCCTGAGGGAGTGTAAGTGGGCAGACCTGTATGGGAGACCTTGCTATGGAAGTTCTTTGGCTGCCATATTTGGAGCCAGGGAGGAATTTGCCAGCAGATTAATTGGGTCTGTTTGAAGGCTTTGCCTCCTTCATGGCAATTATCACAACTTACTGGCGGATAAGGCATTGGGTTGGCTCACTGGACAGGGAGTGGCCCTACCCTGCTCCACACTATCAGAGTATCCCCTTAGTGAAATCCTGGGGAAGGGCTCCTTGTCCTTGTTGGGGGCTGATGGGCCGTAGCACATCAAACAGTGACCGTGGGAGGTTGCGCTGGTTTGATGCATGTGGGACAGCCCTTAACCTTGGTCAACCATCAACCAGCAGTCGGACTGGTTGATTTCAGGATACATTCCCAACGCCTACACCCAAACCTGTTCACATCTGTAATCAATAAAACTGTGGCCTGTTTACGCCCCAATACTGCTGTCCTGTTTTACTGCCATTGCTGTTATGTTCAGCCTCCACCTGCTCGTGGCTTCACTGTGCCTGGGGCTGCAAAACCTGTGCTATATAGGACTGAAGCTAATTGCTTCAGGCTCAGGGCAGAATGGGTTCAGGGCACACAGAGACAGAACCCACAGAGGTGATTGTGTTTGTGCAGAACCCCTATGTTGCTTTTTATGAAGTTGAGGCCCTAGTTAACTCTTATCACTTTAATCCTGGGGTAGGTGCAGTGACCATAAATACTGCAGCAGCTCCCAGAGAGTTTTGTTCTTATAAAATGAACACAAATCTGCCCCTGCCATTCTTGTCTAGCTATCACATTATTCTGGAATGTTTTCTGTTAGATTGCCAAAGGAATACTTTTACTCATACCATCAACAGAAGCTGCAACTATATTGTTTATATTGGTATCTGACGGCATGCACAATTCTTTAAAATGCTAGTTAAGAGACAACCTTCATGTTTTATTCTTTATATTTGTAATATGAAGCTTCATTATCATAAAGAATCTATCTTGATGATTTGCAAATTCCGTTAAGAGAATCACATTTTTTCACGAAGGGATTCTCAACAGCTTTTATGGAAAACAGCTTAGGAGAAGCAAGTAAGCAACCATTCAAAATCTTACATTTATTGTACAGTACTGACGATAAATTCTTATGTGGAAATAATTTGGGTTTTCTCAAAAGGCCGGCAAAGGAAACGCTTTACTGATTTTGCATTATAAACACACTCTTGTACTTATACACACTGCAAGCACTAATCACATCTGCAATTGGGTTCCTTAGTCAAAAGCATAATGAACTACTGCAATGGATTTTTAACAAGTTGTTTAGTATGATATGGGAAAAGCTACAGATCAAATCATCAAATTTAACATATGACTATGAAGATCTCAATCAGCACATTGGCTCTGATACTTAGTGCACCAGTATATGAACATTTTGTGACTATGGACATCAAACACTACATCTAATATAAAATATACACCTTATGTACATAATCTATAGAGATGCTACTGGCTATAAAGTTTAGATCTTCCTGCATGGTTGAGTTGAGAACTGAAGGAAAGGAGAGTTGGTGAAGACTAGCACTGAACTGACATTTCAAGATTGTCAAAAGTTCAGCCTTAATTGAGGGAGAGGTACAGCTTGCTGGAACACCCACACTCTTCCAGTTGGCGGGTGAACATCTGAGAGGTATTCTGGTGGGGGAAGATGGCTACCACAAAATGGCACCCATCGGCAGAATTTAATGGCCTATGAATGGAGTCGTGGGAAGGAACACAGGAAGCTGTCTGAGACTGAGTCAGGCTCATTGGTCCATTTAGTTTGTTTTCACTGTCTGGAAGTAGCTCTCCAGGGTCTCAGACAGGTCTCCCCACTCCTACCTGGAGATGTTGGGGATTGAACTTGGGACATTCTGCATGCAAGACAGATGCTCTACCACTGAGCTATGGTCCTTCCTTATGAAATGGCTCAGGACATGTGACCTGGACATAGTCCAGAGGGGCTATAGTGGGCACCATATAACAGGATTTTGAGGTTTCATATGCAGTTTGCCATAAAAGTTTTGAAGTTTGCCTATAAATGTGAATTGAATCAAATTTCTCCTCATCCTTAACCACACCTTAGCTTCTAGTTCAACGTGCACTAAGCACAGCTACTGTGCAAAAGCTTTAAACTATAATGGGGCTTCCTCAGATCTGCCTGGAGTTACAGGGCTTGCTGCATTGTATCTAGTGCTTCAAATTTGAAACAACAATATTCACATTCAGCACTGCATAGATTTCTAGGCCAAACAAGCATAACCCAATTCTAGTCAGTGTCTAAGATTCTTAAATAAGATCAATGCCAGAAAATAGTTCCATACCGTGGTGATAATTTAGATTCCTCCAGAAGCTTCTTAAATTCTTCTTTGGCTAGCAATAACTTATTTTTCTTTTCCTTGTATTCTTCTCTTATTCTGGTCTTGACAAACTGTTCAAATATCTTAGGTGGATAAGAAGACAAAAAAAAAGGACACACATTATTAAATTTGCTAAATTGGTTGGTGGAGTTCATATTGGCTTCTAGAGCAAGGGTGGTGAACCTGTGGTCCTTCAGATGTTGCAGGACAACAACTCCTGTAACTGCTGACCACTAGCTTGATAGACGTCAGAGTACACAGCTTAACCATCCCTGTTCTACAAACAAAGCATGGTTCTGAAGCACATCTCCTTTCAATCATTGGAGAATGGGGACTGACATGAAAGCGTTTCAAAGAACAACCATTGCATGAGAACCTCATTCAATGTTGTCTATGGAGAGTTGTTTTAATCTACACCCACACCAAAAAGCAGCAGTATATAGTATAATAACCAATGTATTGTTATTAGCATGACTACAGTCCTATGCAGTGTCCTGGGAGTGAGCTGGCCTCAGTGCAGCTTACTTTTGACTTCATTAGCTCAACCAGCAACTCACATTAAGCTCTAACAAAACATCTTCATCTAGTTCAGGTACCCCCAACCTTTGGCTCTCCAGATGTTTTGGACTACAATTTCCGTCATTCCTGACCACTGGTCCTGTTAGCTAGGGATCATGGGAGTTGTAGGCCAAAACATCTAGAGGGCCGCAGGTTGGGGGTGTCTGATCTAGTTGCCTGAAACACAACCTTTAACTTTTTATTAGAAATGCAAACAATCTTGCAAGGCACTAGCTGTTGGTGTGATGTAGGAACCCCAGATGTTATCTTTCCCTTTGCTCTGGAAAATGTCCCAGAGCTGCACACATTTACATTCCCCCTCCACTACACCATTGATCAGCAACATCTGAATCAACTCCTGAAATTGTTTGTTCTAACTCCAGGGATTTCACAACTGCTTCTGGGAGTTTAATCAGGGAAGGTTTCGAGACAAAGCTTGTGGTTCAGCAGTTGAATTCAGGTTGGACAAGGTCCTGAGTTCGGTTTAGGGTGTGTATTTGGAACAAGTTTGTTTCTTAAATGGATGAATGAGATCTTTTTAGTCCATTTGTTACAAACTGAACCCAAATGTACAAGCAACTCAAAATGTGAAGCTATGGATTTTGGTGCAATTTGGTGTCATCTTTGCTATTTTCTTCTTGTTTCAATGGATGGAGTGCTAGGGCAAAGCAGGGGATGGGGAACTGACTTATTCTGTAGCCATCATAAGAACACTTGAACATATGAAGATTTTGCTGGATCAGGTCAGTGGCTCATCTAGCCTGGCATCCTGTTCCCACCATGCCTAATTAGTTGCCTATGGGAAGCCCACAAGCAGGACCTGAATGCAACAACATGCTCCCCTCATTACACTCTGATAATCTGATGTTATTTACTTAGCTTGTGTTTTGGGGCATAATAATGATATAAAATATGGAAGTTATTGACAGTGGAAGAGAATTTGGTTCTCTCGTTGGAATCAACAGAAATTGGAATGTCAAAAAAGAACCAACACCATGAGAAAGCAAAAGGAAGGAAGTTTTCAATCATGAAAATGAATAGAGCAACAAAACTGTTGCTGACATCACACACCCCTAGTTCAGTTCCCAGTTCTAATCAAGAGGATCTAGGTGCCAGACTTTAGGGGGACAACTCTGCAGGAGGCCTTAAATAACTGTTGCTGGTTGGATCATACAGCACTGGGCTCAATGAACTAATGTTTGGTTCTGTTTCATAAGTTCATAAAGGGACTTTGGCAAATTGCTGGTAGGCATGTAAATGAAGCAATGCTATACTTTTTGATGGCACCTAATAGTAATTGATTTGACAGGTAATATCTGCCTGCAAAGGGAAATTGCTTCACAAAGACAATTTTACTTCTGTGTGCCTTAGTACTCCTAGTGTATGTTCCCCAAGGCTCACAATATCATTTCTTTTACATCTGTAGAGTAATCATTGTTAATCTGCTGTGACCTTTTCACAGTAATTGATCTGTGAGATGAGATGAAATACCAATAAAACAAGAGAAAGTTCAATCCACAATCCAATTCTGATCCACTTAGTTCCAGGGTAACTGGCTTTCTGCGGAAAGATTGGAGAGGAAGTAGCTTGATGGTTGTTCTAACAAATGTAAACCCGAGGCTCTTTGGGCAGGACTGGAGTCACCATCTATGTATGGTATGGCATGTAGCTGAATGTTGTAGCTAATTAGATGTTAAATAACAGTAGACTGTTGGGCCTGAACCACGGGCCGAAGGCTAACGAAGCAGTTTTCTGGTTAATTGCAGCACCATGATTCATGACTTGCTTGATTCATGCACTGGCATAACAAATTGAAAAAACCATTGGTTTAGAAGGCTCATTGCAAGATTCATTGAAGTGACTCAAGTGAGCACATTTGCAAGTGGAGTAATTTGAGGGCTGGCACTTAGATTCTAACTTGACTGGGAAGGTACCACAGATGAGCAGCAGAGCTCATATTTTCCATGCAGAAGGTCCCAGGTTCAGTCCCAAGCATCCAGGTAAAACTGAGAAAGGTTTCTGCCTGAAAAGTTGGAAACCTGCTGCCAGCCACTGTAGACAATGTTGAGCTGCATGGACCAGTGATCTGACTTGGTATAAAGCAGGCACATGTGCTCATCATATGATGCATATTTTAGGGAGAAAAGAGCATGTGCTGAATGGGAATTACAGAAATGTAGCTCAACTCAACTGATTTAGAATAGCCTATTTTTATATTTCATGCCAACAAATGAGGTCCTCTCCCCCCCATCCAACTAGTGGCAATGGGCAAATGGAAGCAGGCTTCCGTCCAAGTAATCCCTATCTGCACATGGAAACATGTATGTGATTTCCCAATCCAGAAGCTATGATGCACATTTAGCCTTGCAAATAAATTGCACCTGTACTGATTAACACTTTAGGAATAGGGTGGTGGTAAAGTTTGGATTTCCCCCAGTCAGCTCTCCCTGCAAACTGCCTTATTGGCATATCTATGCTTCTTCGCTAGGGCCATGCATGCACAGCTGGATCATAGCCATCCTCTTCTGAGAACAGCAATAAATGAACTATTGGCTGTTAGTAGAGCAAGGATGTATTTTAATTATTTTTACTGAACCCATCTCAGGTTCTTTTTTTAAAAACAACACCACATCAATGTACTTTCCTTTCGACTGTTCTTGAGACTGCCAAAGAATAATATGATAAGGGGCCCACTTTAATAGTTACAGGAAAGAGCTTTCCATGAGGTCAAAAATAGATGACCACATTAAGTTAAAATTGATAAGTGGCTCATTATCCCAGCACCCGAGCCCCTAAATGCAATGCTATTTCTAGGCCCCAAATCCACTCATTTGTTGAATATTTTGCTGTCGGGAATGTAGCTTCATTGTGGGCAGAGAGGAAAGCCATCTGTTGGGACATAACGATCAATAAATAATTGCAAAACGGCAATGCAGCATGGCGATTTGAATTTAATCAAAAGAAGCCCATTCCTCAGATATTCTCAAGGGAGCTGCGCCTAGTTATTTGCTCCGTTAGCAAACAAATTCTTGCAAAAGTTCAACATCTGACTCGCTGGCCTTTCATACAACGGAGAGATAATATGAGAACAGACCTTTCTCTGTTCATCGACAGGCCCTTCCAATAGACGAAGTGATAAATCTGCCCTTTTCAAAGCCCTTATCTACTTAGGGGAAGAGGCCACATCAATAATACAACACATAATTTGCCAAATAGTCTTTCATTTTTAAATATAATCGGTTTAATCAAGTATTATTGAGCTAAGTGGGAGCCTGGATGTAGCAGGGTTTAGTCCTGTCCCCAAGGTTATTTAGTCCCATGCTGAGGTTGCACACATTCTCTAGGCCCCTCCCATGTGGTAAGATGGTGAACTGCATCAACAGGGAGTCTGTTGTATCTGTGGAGACTCCTTGCATGATTTGGAGCCCTGATACAAAAGGCTCCCACTGCAGAGATTCACTTTCATCAGATAAGGGACCCAGAGAATCACCATAACATCAAAGGTAGCGGGCGAAGCAAAAATATCTTGAGCTACAAGGGAACACAGAGCTGCAGTTATGTTTGAAAAAGACTCTCTTCTACCTGCAATCCAGAGCATCAATTAGAATGTCAGAATTCTAATGCATAATGTGCATGGCTCTGAACAACCCACAAATATTTTGCATCCTAATTCAGGCATGAAGGTTTAGCCACAAAATCTAGTGTTCTAGCTTTCACCTGTCTCTAATTTTAACTTGTGTAGTGCTTATTTGTACGAGGAGTTGCTAAAGGTGAGATGATCAATCCTGCAATAAATGTTAATCTTTCCAGTTGACCAAAAGGAGGACATTTTTAACACTTCATAAAATTTCCTTCTCTGCAATTTGATTACCCTCTTTTACTAGTAGGAACACAATTTTAATCTTCTATATAAAGAAGAACTGAAAATTGCTTTTCATAGTCATTTTCCTTGAGTACGTAATATATTCCACAAATGAGACCCATGTCACCAATGTTTCAAAGCTAATATCTATAGTATAAGCTTTATCGACTGTTCATTAAGCAATTTTACTATATCATGTACATGCTTGATAAATGAAAGGCGCAATAAAGCTTGATTGACTAGGCACGGTCTAGACTGTGCCCTTGCTTAAATCACTGAAACAGAATACAGTGTTCCCCTTGCTGTATAAAACCGTCTTCTAAGTGCATTGTTAGGTTACAGTTTCAAATTCCCAATTATAATTTTACCCTAAACATGGTAGCCATTCTTTGCTAAAAGCAAACACATTTTAGATATGGTTCACCCCTATGCAAGGTGCTCAGTCTCCTCATGAGTTTGAGGGCAAAGGTCTGAAGCAGGAAGCCTCCTAAATTCATGGGGTTCCTTTTAGGATTTTGAACTTCTGCACCATCAATTTTTAATTACACGGGGAGCTTCAAAGGTAGACAGGGGTCTCCACTCAGTGGCATAGCATGGGTTACCAGCATGCATGGGAAGGAAATGGATGGAGTACGCATGCACATTCAACTGCCTAATGGTGTCTGCATCACCCAGGAGATTGCAGCCACACAGATAAGAAAAGAAGAGTCGTTCTGTTGCCTGGAAAGGTCACTTCCTGGTTCTCATGGAGAAGCCATTTTCAATGGAGCCCAGCAACAGAAATGCACAGCTTTATTGAGGCAGCACCAAATGGTACCGCCCTTCACCCACAAATCTCAGGGCAGTTCACATCATTTGTAAACTAGAGATTCTGATCACCAAGAGGTGATAAAATTTAAAGGACTGCTTATCTATTTGTTTTGGCTATAATAGTGACCTAAAGTACAAAATGTGGCTGCTTTGCTATCATTAAACATTGCAATAGTCCTTTGGATCATAAGGAAATAGTGTGATGCCCTCATTATTTTTCTTGTTGGCTCAGAATAAGGCCTATAAAGGCTTGGACTTATAGAAGCTAGCGTGAATCAGAATTTATTTAGTAGAAAAGACTAGAATGCATACCCAAGTTGAACAACTAGGAGACTGTCTTCCAGCACCAGATTCTCGCATGAGTCATGTGACCCATGTGAGATCGTGCCCCCCCCAAAAAAGTGTTTTTTTCGGTGCAAGATTGCAGCACCCAAAATGGCTGCCATGCTGTCACATAAAAAAAGGGATGTCCCAGTTTTCCTGGGACAGTTGAAGGATATGTAGAATGTCCATGGCTGGTAAAGTATGAGGAATGATGCACTAATTCAGTAGATCAAAGATTGAAACTAGCCAACTGTTTATCTTTTGTCCACCATGAATTCCACAGAAATGGATGGACTTCCCTGTTTCAACTTTCCTTTGCATATCTGCTTATATTTTCAGTTTGCCTCTTTCTGAAAGATATTCATCGCCCATTTCCCTCAGTTTATGTTTACAGCATGGAAGCAAGGACCCATTTGTTTTCTGATGCCCATTTTTATACCATAGTTATTTCAGGTATGTCATGTTCTTTAAAAGAGTAACATGAATTGGCTCAAGCACTCTGAACTGTCGGGGGAGGCATGCATTGTTATAAAACTTTAAACTCACCTGTTTACGTTCTTCTGAGTTGAGTAGGAGATAACGTGGATCAAATACTATTTTGTGTAACTCTTTTTCCCATGTGGAAAATGCAGAGACCTGAAGGAAGATATGAATGGAAGATATATAAACAATTTTCTGAAGGTTTTGGAACTAACCTGGCTGTAAATTCAATTTCTGAGTGAGAAAACAGAACATTGCAAGAATGCCACAAGCTACAGTGTTTGCCATGACCTAACTTATTCAAGAAACAGAATAAATCTTAATCAAGGGAACTGGGATTAAGAGGAGAACTGGCTGTGAGAACAGAATGGAAAATGTATGATGCAGGGATGAAGAACAGCAAAAAAAACCAACATGTTTGAAGGAATGATCAATACCATAGGAAACAGATCAGAAATCAATATGACACAACTATAACTGTTTCATGGTGTCCCTCACCCACGCTTTTAACCAGGAATTTTAATTCAGAAATTATCTTATTCCTCAAATTCATTTCATTCAGCTTTCACGTTTTCTTCTTTTGTAATGGTCCTCTAAATATTTGTTACCGATAGGTTTTGTAAGTTGCTTTGGGCCAGTTTTCCAGAAGTGACTAATAAAAGCAGATGCAAATCATGATGATAATAATAATAGATCCATTTGAATCAGCTTTCAGATCAGGCTTAGGCTGAGTAGAAACTGGGATGGGCTAGCTCACTATTTTTATTTAACAGGATTTATATACTGATTAATCATCCAAAACTTATTGGTTCACATAAACTTGTATAAAATTACTATAGAAAGTAATTGTTCCTCATTAGGTAATTCATGCATGTAATCCATCCTGCTTTGCTTATTCTTCAGCAGTTGGGGTCCATAAAAACAAAACACAAACCAAATCTACAGTAGGGCAAATCCTTAATGAAACGAAAGTGTCATAAAACAGTGAATAAGCTTTAGAGTTCTCCAGAACTCTTCATTGGGCTAGATGCTTCACTGGATCTTGCTTGCATAGTTATGAGACACATGTAGCTCTTTCATGGCTGGGTCCTTCTGGTCTCTGTAATAATGGTCCCCTTTTGTCTGTCTCCATATCTGTACCTATCTGCCAACATCCGAATACAATGCGAGCCAGTACAACATACAACAGGTACTGGGGCAGTCTATGTTGATATTGAATCTTGCTCTAATTAGCCTTCTCACCAGGGGAGAAACTTAGGTCAAACATGTTGGGAATCTCCTATAGGAGATCATTGCTCTTTAGGCTGAAGGCTTGTGTGAAAAATTTACTCAAAGGGTAAGATCCATGATTGTGCCAGCAAATACAACAATACTCCCTTTCCTCCCCTCCCCTTGTGTCCCCAATTTCTCTCCAGGGGGCTCCCCAGCCCTGTAGAGAAAGGAAATGTTGTTTAGATAAGCATAAGCCTGTTGCATAGGCAAGACACCATGATTTAACACCCAAAGTGTTAAACCTAACAAAACTTTATTATTTCCACGGAAATACAAAAGTTGGTAGAAATAAGAACAATTTTCAGATATTTATGCCCCATAATGGATTGGATTATTCTGTTCTAACCTGTCCTATTCAATGCGCTTCATAATGAATAGAACATGCTCTTAGAATCATTAAAAAATTGTCCAGTAGCACCTTAGAGACCAACTAAGTTCTGGGTATAAGCTTTCGTGTGCATGCACACTTCTTCAGATACACTGAAACAGAAGTCACCAGACCCTTATATATAGTGGGAGGGTGGGGTTTTTCTCAGGAGGGTAGTAGGAGATCACCCTGACTCAGTGGGTATGGAAAACCTGTTGACGACTGTAATTAATCCTACTTAGTTGGTCTCTAAGGTGCTAGTGGAGATTTTTTTAATCTTTTTATTTATTTATTTCGACTGCGTCAGACCAACATGGCTACCTACCTGAATCTTAGAATCATATCATTAGAAACATGTCAACCATGGGGTGTGGAATTAGTTAGATCAAGTCTAAGTTAGAGACGGTTTTGTGTGTAATGGAATGTAATTAAACATGTTTCCACTGGGTACCTGAACTGTTATTCAAAGACAGAGAACATGCCTAAAATCAGGCAATAAGAAAGATTATAAGTTCTCTGGGCACAGATTACATTTATATCATGTCCTTTACATCACCTAGCCTTTTGTACAACAAATGGAAGCAACATAACATCATTCAACAGTGATAAATGTTGATAGGAAAGCAATATTAAAAAGCATTTATTGAAGCTGTAGGAATCATGAGATGGTTGCAACATACTGTTACAAATCTTGAGTTTATATCGTGTTCTCATAAACTGCTGGAATCAAGCCAGTCCAACCTTATTTCTTACCCCTCTTTCCAGAAGCATATCTCTGAAATGGGTAATACGTTCTTCCAATGGAAGTATAATCTGATCTTCTGAAGCTTTCACATTTTTCTCTTCGACCTTGTCTAGCCCAGCGTTCTCAGGATCTTCCAGTCTTAAATAATGCAAGTAATATGCAGGATGGAATAAATTTTTAACGCTCAATTATCTTTAAAAACTCAGCAGGAACTAGAAAAATAAAAGCAGCAACTTGTTGCACAGAGTGTTCTTGTATTAACTTATTTTTGTCTAAGTTTAAAGATATGCAGCTAGCGTGTTCTTAACCTCATTCTTTAGAGGCATTAGAAACAGACTTTCCCAACCTGGTGCCCTCCAAACATTTTGAGCTACAGTTCTCATCAGCCATGCTGGAAGGGGCTGAGTGAAGTTATAGTTCAAAACATCTTGAGGGCACAAGGCTGAGGGAGGCTCCATAAACGATGCCTTAATTGGAGCTGAGAGTTCAGATGGCACACTGTTAGGACTGTTTTACTGGGGGATAGTCCTTACTTGGATGTTCAGCTTTATCTGGAGGAAAACTCCTTCCTTGCTCCATCTAGGACAGAGTGTGTTCTCAACTTCTAGACTGGGGGAAAACTCTGAAGTGATGTGGCACCAGATTTTGATTTGTGGGAAAGCCACTTCCACCCTATGGAGGAGGTGGGGTTGAGCCCAGCACCTGCGCAATTGGGGGATTGGGGGGATTCCCGGCCATGTCATCCCCTGGTCAGCCAATCGGCTGGTTCAGGGGGTGTGGCCTGCCCTATTTAAGGTAGGACGAGGCTGGGGATCTCCCTCTTTGCTGCTAGTCAGCTGTTCCTGCTTTCCCCACCCTACCACCCTATAAGGTTTTTGTTCCTTAACCTTGCTATGGACCTTGGTTGGTCACCGTTGAGGGGTCTGGTAGGAATTTTTCCACTTGGAAAATTGGTACCAGCCACTTGTTTTTCACCTTCCTCATAGCAAATCACCACAACTTTCTTGGTATTGGCAGTTAGGCATAGGTATTGTTCTGTAGATGGAAGAGGGGAGGTAGCGCCATCACCTGTCCCGCATATTGAAGGGTAGTCCGATAAAGGATTCTGGGGTGTGTGGCCCTGTCCAAAGCCAAGAGAGGTGAGGGCCTAAGGCACGCCCCCTAGCGGTCACCCCGGGGGAGTTCCTAGTTGATGTGCATCAGTGCATCAGCAGGACTCCCCCTACTGGTGGTTAACCCTTCCCGGACTTCAAGCGGACGGGCAGAAGTCGGATATAGTCGGTTAGGACCAATGCCTAAGCCAATACTGCTCATCACCTGTAACCAATAAATTTGTGGCCTTATTTAGCCCATTAACCTTAATAATTGTGTCATGTGTCATTATTTCCACTGGGGGGGCGGGAACTCACCACGCAAAGATATCTTATTCTGAGCGCTTTTTTGAATGATGCATCTTCTCAAGATATTTACATTTATACAGTTCCTACTTAGATGTGATAGGGCTTTAAAGTCAGTGAAGTGATAAATATTTGTTATCTCTTTTTACAGTTTCCTCTATTACCCACTGCGCTTACTATAAGCTTAGTCAGGAAAGAAAACAGGAAACAGTGTTTTAACACTTGTTAATTGCTTGCCTATATATTCCCACCAAGCCATTACAAGCAGGAACCTCTAACTTTCCCTGCTAAAATACTTTCTACCTGTCACTTCCTACACAGCAGTAGATTAACAAAAGGGCTAACAGGACCTGGCTTGTTCAGTGCTAACCAGTGACAACGGGCAACCCATTGTATTTCATGCCATCTGCAATGTGCAAGATTTGTTTGCAGGGTGACTAAAATGGTTGCTAGTTTTATTATATGTGTGCTATGTAAATTATAAGGGCTAGTTCCTTGGGCAGATTGGAACTCTGCCATCTCAGCACTGAAGAAGCCCCTACAGAAGTTCCTTCAGTGAAATAAATGGAGATGCTCACATGCTCAAGAGATACATTATTCACCTGATGCGGGTGGCGCTGTGGTCTAAACCACCGAGCCTCTTGGGCTTGCCGATCATAAGGTCAGCAGTTCAAATCCGCACGATGGGGTGAGCTCCTGTTGCTTTGTCCCAGCTTCTGCCAACCTAGCAGTTTGAAAGCACGCCAGTGCAAGTAGATAAATAGGTACTGCTGTGGCGGGAAGGTAAACCGTGTTTCCGTGTGCTCTGGTTTCCATCACAGTGTTCCGTGTGCCAGAAGCGGTTTAGTCATGCCGGCCACATGACCTGGAAAACCTGTCTATGGACAAACGCCGGCTCCCTCGCCCTAAAAGTGGAGATGAGCGCTGCACCTCATTGTCAAATTCAACTGAACTTAACTGTCCAGGGGTCCTTTACCTTACTTTTACCTATTCACCTGACTGCATCTTAGTCTCTAGCATGGGGAACAAAACTATAAGGGACATGGGTTAACATTATTCTGGCATTCTTGCTACACAATCAGTGGTTTAAATATATTGTAGTTACAGTAATATCTGTTGTAGAAACTTTCAGAAAAGAGATTATTCTCTCTAACAAAACCAAGCTGAAGTCAACTAACTACATTTGCACCTGATTAGAAACTTTTAGCCATTGGACATAAGCATGATTTTATTCTCAAAAGGTTCTAAATGGTTCAGCTGAAATGGGAAATGTTAAAATCTTTCAGCTAAAAAATTCCATTACCCAGTAAAGCAATATGTGTCCTAACATTATTTTCCTTGCCATCAATAATTGCATTATACAAATTCACTCTTAAATTATACTAAAATGGGTATTGCATGATGTTAGTAGCTCCATAGGCATCAAATTGTCACTCTTCATATAATAGTGACTTCGATATTATATTAGCCATTCTCATTCTCCCGAAATTATCCTATTCTGTAATATGATCTATAAAGCTTCCAGTCCAATTTCTGGTAACCAAAAATAATTTTTATTTCCAGAGAAATGGGTGGAAACCCAGAAAGCTATTTCATTAACGAAGATGCTCTCTGGCTGCCTCTTTTTTAGTACAGTTAATTAAAAATGACGCAAATAATGGTGAGCATTACTGTTCCCAACCCTAATCCTGTGGCAAACCATCGAATTATATTTTAATTTGATCCTGGCTTGTTTTTAGGAGGTAATTTAATTATTGTTTGATTTTATACCAATGTTATATATTTGATGTTAGCCGCCCTGAGCCCAGTTTTGGTTGGGGAGGGCGGGATACAAATAAAGGTTTATTATTAAGAGACTAGGGCCCTGCGGGACTTGACATCTTTCCGCAGGGCCTGCAAGACAGAGCTGTTCCACCAGTCCTTTGGCCAGGGTTCAGCCTGACTCATTTCTCTTCGTATAAGAACAAGCACAAAGGAGGTTCCCAGCCTGCTCATAGGTCCTTATAATATCAGTGGAAACAGCTGGTCTTGGAGAGTATTAACAGCTTCCAGTTTTAAAGTGAAGATTGCCACTTGTCCAGTTTTAATTTTAATTGGTTGAATTAATTGTGGGCTGTATCTTAATTCACTGATTGCTTGTATTATTGCATATTGTCTTATTTATATGATGTTAGCCGCTCTGAGCTCGGCTTTGGCCAGGGAGGGCGGGATACAAATAAATGTTACTATTTCTGGGTTAGCAGAGTCTGTAACTTGAAGCGTATGTAACCCAAGGTACCACTCTATATCAAAATGTAGTATGATTCACACAGCTATTATTTTTCTCAAAAACGTATTACCCCCAAATAACAAGTTCTATTCCTGATTTGGCCAGGATACTGTTTCAACAAATTGCTTTTATATTGTAAACTGCCTTGGATGAAGGGTGGCATAAAAATTTAATAAGCAAACAAATAAAATACAAAAGCCCATTAAAAATTTTACTAGTCAGATATTCTGTGGGCACAGTTTACAAACTAAGCTGCAGAGGAAAGTTTAGGATGGCTTTCAATTAAGTTCTTTGCAGAGTAAGCCCACTGAAATTAATAAACATGACTAAGTTAGCTCTAATAATTTCAACAGCTCTACTCTGAGTAAAACTTTGTTGAATTCCTCCCTTAATCCATGCAGATAAAAACTTCTGCTATGGTTGGGTTTAATTTTAATTAAAATAATTTAAATTTAAAATAAGGACTTGAAATTCTTCATATAGTCAAAGTCCATTTTGACATCTTCAGCAAAGGTTACTTCATGGATCTCATGTCAGAAAAAATATTACTTACTTATTTCTCTTTGTTTTAGTACTGTGATCATCATTTAAATCTTCTGCATAAGAGCCATCACTTTTATCTGCTAAAAGTAAAAAAAAAAAAAGTAGTTAGACAAATTACAAACTTTACATTAGATTAATCAGCTAATAATTGTTTAGCTTTAGCTTTTCCTAAAGTCTATTCAGTTTCTAAAGATGTGCCCATTTATCTGGCAGTTTGGAGTTACCTTAGAACACTAGAGTTCCTGATAGATTTAGAATGAGTTTAGAACAACAACATATGGCAATTTCTTGTTTTGATCTTCACACATTTTATTTAATACTACTTTTTTAAAATGAAAGGTTGTCATTTCACATTTGGATAATAAATAAAAAGAAAAATATGTTCATTTTATTGCTGACAAGTTGAAAAAATTGATAGAAGCTACTTTCTGCCAGAAGTATCGGTGCTATTCTTACTCAAATGTAGGGGAACTATAAAACTTCTCTGTCATTAAACTTGACACACTGTATTGCAATCAAAAACATGCAGACATTACTGTCTCTCAAATTTAGAGGATAGCCCAAAGAAATGATCGATTCCTGTTTTGGCATAGATATTGTCTAACAAATTACAGTGGGATGTGGCTGTTTTTCAGAAGAAGTGTGATGTTTATGATCCCATTATCTATTTCTGCAATTCTGAAGCACTTTATCTTTTCTGCATATAGAGTACCACACTCTGAATAAAAATGAACTGGAGACAAACTCCAGCTCAGTTCAGTGTGGCTTGCAATTTCTAGTGTCTCTTCTAAAGTCAACATGATTTCTGATAAGCAGCACAACACTTTTATTGAGGGGAAGGCTGAAATACTCCTGTATGCCCTCCATCAAATATGAGGCTGGTCTATGATGAGAGAGGGAGTCATGGAGTTATTACAATTAAGTGTGTAAGAGGACTTTAAAAGTGTTCTCTCCAATCCAACTAGGGACGGTATCTATAGGCGCAAGGGCCCTCAAAGGTCATCTACCCTTTGTGGACACATGGAATACATTGTGATGCTGTCCCTAAAAGGTGGACACTCCAGCTGCTTCTTAAAAACCTCTAACAAATAATAGCCTACCATCTTTAGAGGCAGACAGTTCTACCATCCAACAGATAGTACCACCAGGAAGTTCTTCTTCATTGTTTCAACATAAAGTCCAATTTCTTGCAATTCTGAACCCAAATGTTTTCAACTCTCTGGAGCAGCAGAAAAGGTTGTTGGTCAGGTTGTTGAGTGAAACACCCAGGCATCGCATATCCCAACTGTGCTGGTTCAATATCAGGCCATGTTCAAGGTCTTGTTACTCTAAAGCCTGGAGCAACTTGGGACCAGGTTAGCTGAAAGACTGTCTGTCCCTGAATAGAGTTTAGAACACTTACGGTGAATTTTTATTCGTGGCACCACACCCTATACAATACCACAGGGTGGTGACTCAAAATTGAGCGTTTTCCAACATTGCCCCTGTATTATAGAATGCCCTTCCCCCTGTCAAACATGAAGCATCAGCCAACAGTTACTTCTCTCATCTTGAGGAGACATCTTTTTGCCTAAGTTTTTCCTGAGCTATAATATTGGACCCTGTTTTTACTAAATTCCCATTTTTACCTGGTTTTATGATACTAGTTTTTAGGTTGCATCTCTCTTTATGGTAGTGCTTCCCTCTTTTCATGTTGCATTTCTGTACACCGCTTAGAGATTTTTAAATACAAAATATTTCAGAAATGCTTTTAAATAAATGATGAATTTGCACCATCATCTACATGGCAGCCATTCAAGTATTTGAAGATTGCTATCATATCACCTCTTAGTAATCTCTTTTATAGGCAAGAAAACAGGCTTCCCTATGACTATTCCTGCTTAGACTGCAATAATTCCCTGACCTGATCTAGCAGTCAAGTCCATGCATACATACAAGTCTCCTTTAAACATTGAAATACTGGCAATCAGCTGTTTGGGTGGAATATTCAGCTGACTGGCAGAACTCCAAGTTTGTTTGTTTTTTACCCTCAGCCCCAGCTGCTACACATGTGATCTATTATATCAGAGTCAGGAAATGTGACTTTAAGGTCTATGCTCACACTTTATTTCAGTCATTTTGTCCTTAATGCTGTATTCTGTACTATGCTAAACTCACTCTTACAGGTTCAACCCGTTCTGTCAGAAAATAGGAAGTGAATTGTTCTATTTTAGTTCAGAGTCTTGGTCACATCGTATATCAATTTTTCAAAGCAGGCTGCTAAAGAAATGAATCAAGGAACACACATGCCCACATAAAACCAAACTGAACAAAATTACATGTCTTACTACCCCAGGACAATTTGCTATAATACTGCAATGGCTGAAGACCAAGGGTGTTTCCAGATGTAACCGTAACATCGCAAATGGGTCATTTGGGTATTGCAAACAGGACACTGGCAAAATGATTTGGGGGGGGGGGGTTATTTATTGAATTTTCCCTGGAAAGGGGAAAACCTGATTGAATGAGAAAAGAAATACAGACTGGCATTTTCATGTGGGTGTGGCAAAAATCTGACATGCATGAGTAGCACTGCAGTTATATCCACTCTGCTTGACAACATAGTAATTTGTGAGGAATCAGATATGAATGCTGTATAACAAGGCACACATAAATGCATAGTAAAACTGGGTACTATTAGTACCCAGTAGGGACTGGTGAGACAGCATATGGGTTGGATCACTTGTGGGGGGGGGGGAGTGTGGGCAACTTGGCACTGTGAAAGGCAGCATCAATCTGATGCTCCTGCTGTGACACACCACACCTCTGAGCGCCCCGTGACTTTACTCCCACCTGTCCCTCTCGGCAACTGCCAACGACCCACAATATTGTGAAGCCAGGAGAACAACAGGGTCCCCACCTGCACAGCTTCACTGGCTGGTGCTCACAATACCAATCATAAGATAACGTGCAACCTGTTCTGTTGAGGGAGGTCCTTGCATGCAAGAGACGGAATGTGGCCCAGGTGTGGAACCATGGACACTCCTTAAGAGTGCACACTTCACTGAGGTTATCTGCAGACATTCTGCCTGGGATTATTTTAGCAGCAATTTCCCAGTAGCTGAAAAACTAGGTAAAATTAATTCCTGCAGCCTTCTAACAGAGATCGTTCTAGTTCTGATGATACTCCTCTCCCTCTCTGAACTGGGCCAGCATGTTTAAGGGAGCAGCTGCATACCCTTCCCACAGCCACCCAGCATGTCCCATACTGTATAGGTAGTCCGGTTGAATGCACGACCAAAAAGCCAGCATTCTGTTCTTACAGTGGCTAGCCAGGTGTCTATGGGAAGCCCGTATTCATGACATGAGCGCAATAGCCTTCTCCCACTTGCAATCCTTAGCAACTGGCATTGAGAGGCTTAGAGCATCTGATACCAGAGGTTATGTGCAACCATCATAACAAGTAACCATTGATAGCCTTATCTTCTACAAATTTGTTTAAGCATTCTGCTGATGGACTTTCAACCTTCTTGAAACAAAAATAGACCTAACCTATAATAAAATATGTAATACCATACTTGATGCTTATCAAAAGAGTAGATATGTAACCATTAGGAATCAGTAGTGCAAACAAAGTATTATCTTTCTCTTAAAGAAGACACAAGTTCTTTAAGTGATTTTAAGCCACAGAAGAACCTGTTAGGAAGACGTATTTGAGTTAAGCTGTCACAAGTTAGCAGGCATCTGAGATGGAACATCTCGAAAACCTTTTATCACCCCATAGGCCTCTCTGAGCTGACTAGAAAAATCGACGCAGGGATAGACTTTAAAGTTATTTGTCTTTGTGTGAGAATAGATAGCTTGGATAAAGAACATATGGAAAGCAAGCAGTTTCAAAAAAGGCACCAAAACCACCCACTTTCTGGAAGTAAACACAGCTGGAAAACACAATGACTAACAACAATACAAGAAATATACACAAGGGTCAGCTCTATACTTTATTCAAAATCAAACACAAGCTCTATTCCCGAAAAGGATAGGGCAAGACTGTATTGTTAAATTGGCCATAAATGTGTTTATTAATGCTGAAGCTGACTTAGTGCCAGACCAAGCTATTAGATTCTACTGAGTTCACATAAAAGTGAAACTGATAAAGAAGAATGACAAAGGGAAACGAAAAGCATCTGAAACTTTAGGTTAGGATACAAGTCCACTTTAACCCCAGATCCTGTTTTAACAGTTGAGTTCTAGGGACGCTGAATGAGAATTTGTACAAGAGGAAAACCATTTCATTAATTCCTAAGTTTCTAGGTCTCTCCAGAGCACAATCCACTGGGGAGTTCTCCTGTGTGAGCCCCAATGAGTGAATGGGAGCTCCATCTGAAATATACGTTTAAACCAGTATTCTACAACTGTAAACAGTCATGGCTTCCCACAAAGAATCTTGGCACCTATAGTTTGCTAAGGCTGCTGAGAGATGTTAGGAGACTCCTGTTCCCTGCACAGAGCTACAATTACATGAATGATTGAACAACCAAGCCCTCTTCCCAGGGAATTCTGGGAATTGTAGCTCTGTGAATGGAATAGGGTCTCCTAACAACTCTTGGCACCCTTAAAAAGCTATAGTTCCCAGGATGCTTAGAGGGAGAGGTGCCATCTTCTCCAGTTGATTGAGGGGGGCCAATGTGCCATCCTGATGTCATGCACGTGACATCATGCAACATCCTGATGTCATGTTTGCATCATCTTGAGGAGCCAGGGGGTGTTGCTGAACACCCTCTGAACATTGAGGGAGCCAGGTCTCTTCAAAAACAATATGGGGGTGAAACTGTGTCAGCCCCTAGGAACTGGCACATATGCTTTGATGGAGACTATGGCTTTTACAGTGATATCATAGTGCTTTCAATGTATAGTGCAGATGCGGTCAAGTGTTCAGCACATTTGGCATCAATTGCACTTCAACATCCAAGTAAAAATGCTTCAGATGTGGTGTTAAGGTAAAAGGTCAATTTGACCATGAGGATAATTGCCTCAGCACACTGATTCCTCCCTACCCCGTATTCTATCAATGGCATTATTATACCATTTCTACTTGTTTCTGCTGTTAAATTCCCAGGAACAAATCACTCAGCCCAAGCCCAATCAGCTTTTTAATCTGTTAGCAAAGGCTCTTTCTCAACAGCTGCCACCTGTCTATCTTTAATTCTGTCAGGGATATATAGGCAGCCTTGGACAGAGAGTTCCAAAAAAAGTGGAGCCTTTTCAGAAAAGCATGTAAGCAAGCAATCTCAAGAAGCCTCTTTCCTAAAACGTGGGTGAAATACTGGTGCCTGATTAGGCACAGCATTTCTTTAAAAAGGTGGCTTCTTATTATGGAGACAGAGTCAACAATTTACAAGGAAAACCCTGCAACAAAAGACAAGATTGCTTAGCCAGTTAACTTACTTTCTTACACTTGCATCTTTCCCCCCATCATGGAATTCACAGAACATGCACATGTTCTGCTTAACATAAGCAAAGTGGTAGCCTCATATGCTTTCAGACCATGTCCAGTTTGGAAAACATCTAGTGCATAAACTACACAGAATTCAAAAGAGCTTTTCTTCAAGCCCATTTCACAAAGTTCCCCATGGCTGTGGCTGCATGGTCAGTAGGCTTCCCAATTCTGGAGAGACCACTCCTATTGTCCCTATTCAACCAATAAGTAAAAAGTATTAAAGGCACTTCCTAGGCCTGCCTCTTAAAGGGTGGCGGCGGGGGAGGGACAATCAAAATCCATCATGATTGGGAAAGGGTGTCCGCCTAACCCTAGAGACATGAACCAAGCAAAATCTGAGATGGACCAGCAAAGGCAAGACTTTGAGCAGTCAATTATAGAAGGTTATGCTAGTATGAGGTCACCACTCCTTAGCCAATGAAGGTGAACCATCAGGTAGACCAGGAAGTTGAGTGTTTCCACTGGATGCCACTTAAGAGTAATCTTATTATCAGGAATTAAGACTCACAAAAGTCGACCTTTTTGTTTTGGCAGCCAAAAAGATCAGAAAGAAGACCCTGGACAATATAGCAGTGAACTGTAAGACCATCATTTGTGGTGTGACACCCCTTTTGCTTGTATTTATTGTTGATTCAGATTTTTCATGGCTAATGGCTAGTACAATAAAGTTATATGGATTGGATTGGATTATTGGGAATTAGGGAATTCTTGAGGGGAATTAGAGGATCTAGCAGGGCCTAGGGATCTCTAGCTCTGAATCTCCTGAATCAGAGGGTTGAACTAGATGGCTTACATGGCCCCATCCAACACTACAATTCTATGAATGAGTAGCACATAAGCAGCAGGAAGACAAGTCTAAAGTGGACTTTTCCCCCCCACCTTCCCCAATATTGTCTGTTTTGACTGGCAGCAGTTCTTCAGGATCTCAGGCAGAGGTCTTGCATTTCATTTCTGATCCTTAACCCTTCTTTTTAGAAGGAACAGAATGCGAGATGCATTGCATTGAAAAGCATAATGCACACCCATGAAATGAGCTTATGACACCTTCATGAATATCAGTGAGCATAAATTGTTACACAAATGTGCAATCTTTTTAATTATTTTCATTCATGCATTCATTTCAAGAACATTTGATTTCATGCAGGAAGAGATGCTATTAACCTATAATGTTCTGATAACTATGGTTAGTCTCACTTTTGTCCACTGCGGCAGTCTAATTAAAGTTGTAATAACACCACAATCCAGTTCAATGGGACACTTAAAATGTAGTTTATTTGGGCTGTTTATCTTGTGAGTTAAAGGGTGCACTGACCATTTTTCTAGCCTTATCTTTGTTATGAAATATACTAATAAGAACTCTAGCTGCAGTTGGCATGGGAAAATGGCCTGGTTATATTCTCTCCCCCCCCCTTATTTCAAGAAGAACATAGGACAGAGCCATTTCTTTCCCCAACCAACTATGCTTATTTATTTATATATTGCTATACATACACCTTCAGTTCTGGACCCATCTGGTTCTGCTCTGAACCATCAATTCCCAGTTGATCTTCATCTCTTGCTTCCATCCATGACCAGCACCAAGCCCCAAGATCTTAACTCCAAGCCCTATTGTCACTGGAGCAGGTCGTGGGCTCCTGTCAGTGCCCTCCCTGCTAGAATGTGGTCCCCTTGGCAATTCCATGCCAAGGCTTTCTGTATAACATGCTTTGCACCCAACCTGTTGCCAGAATGTTTGGTTTTCTGACACGGTAAGCCTAGCTACAGTGCAAACAAACAACTCCATAAAGGTTATCTTGAATGTGTGGTGTGGTTTTTTTTTGGGGGGGGGAGTTTGCATTCTCTGAGGGTGGTGCAGTGGGGATATTTTTTATGATGATGTTGAAGAAAATGGGAAAGTCCATTTATAGTAACTCAGTTACTATATTGAATTTCCTTATGAGCATAGCTAGTAATAAGCAACAATTTGAGTTCACCTCTTATGTGATCATCAGACACAATAAATTAAGAACTTTGTCCTTAAAACAACTGTTGAAACATAAATGATCAGAGATTTTGCACGAGCACTGCGGTTACATGAAATACAGTGGTACCTCGGGTTAAGTACTTAATTCGTTCCGGAGGTCCATTCTTAACCTGAAACTGTTCTTAACCTGAAGCACCACTTTAGCTAATGGGGCCTCCTGCTGCCACTGCGCTGCAGCCACATGATTTCTGTTCTCATCCTGAAGCAAAGTTCTTAACCTGAAGCACTATTTCTGGGTTAGCAGAGTCTGTAACCTGAAGCATATGTAACCTGAGGTACCACTGTATTCTATATATCTACAATAAGGTTACTTTTGGTTATTTCATACCTTTTCTTCGATAAATTATTCATACTAGAAACAGTATCAATCCTGGTTATTGCTGTTTCAAATACCCTTCAGAAAGGATATATTTTCATGATTTCAATTAATGTTCAAAAGGGGATTGAAATATATTGTTCTAATGTCACTGTGGTGCCACCTCACTTAAGCCAGCATAGCTGCACATAAATGACCCTATTTGTTATAGCATCTACGTGTGGGATTAATATGAGTGATTTCATATCAATCATCATAAGAAATAATAAAAATAGCAAATAGATATATAAGAACTTAATATAAAATGACTTTTCTTCTTCTGATCTATAGATAGTGTCTTTGTGGAAAGCTTTAGCTCATTAGTAAGGTAAAGGTAAAGGGGACCCCTGACCATTAGGTCCAGTCGTGACCGACTCTGGGGTTGTGGCGCTCATCTCGCTTTATTGGCCGAGGGAGCCGGCGTACAGCTTCTGGGTCATGTGGCCAGCATGACTAAGCCACTTCTGGCGAACCAGAGCAGTGCACGGAAACGCCGTTTACCTTCCCGCCGGAGCCGTACCTATTTATCTACTTGCACTTTGTGCTTTCAAACTGCTAGGTTGGCAGGAGCAGGGACTGAGCAACGGGAGCTCAACCGCCGACCTTCTGATCGGCAAGTCCTAGGCTCTGTGGTTTAACCCACAGCGCCACCCACGTCCCATTAGTAGTCTTTGGCTAATTAAACAATCTATGGCCTTTTAAACTGTGGGGTAGCATTGTAGTTGTTTGTTACTACATTGTGCATTTCTGTGCTTATATTGTAAACTGCCCTGAGCTCCACGGATGAAGGATGGTACAGGCGGCAACCATTTCGCATGGGAGTTCCGTTCCTGGCTCCCGCTTGCACCGGCAGAACACGTATAAGCATGCCTTGCCCCATTCTACCCCGCCCCACCTCTGTTCCGCCCCAGTTCTGCCTCCTACAGAACTACTAGTTTTGTAGTAGTTTTATGTAGTCTTTATGTAGTTTTATGTAGTTTTGTGGTAGTTTTTATGTAGTTTTATGTAGTTTTCAGTTTCATTGTTCCGCAAGGGACAATGACAATAAAGATATCATATCGTATCTTCCGGGTCCAAAAGGACCCACGCGTCAACGATTGCACGTCAGTTGGACTCACCTAATATGGTTGCCGCCTGTATAAAAATTTAATAAATAATCATGGTGGTATAGCAGAGTACATGCCTTGCAGCCAGAAGATCCCCAGGGGACTTTGGGCAAGATCCCTGTCTGAAACCCCAAAGTGCTGCTACCAGTCAGTTCAGATGGATCACTATGAGGAAACTTCCTATGCATCCATAGGATTTTCTGCCTGCCTGGGACTTGCAGCTCACACACGGGCTGTGTTTGACTTGGTGACTGACAAGTTGTGCAGGCTGCTTGATCATCCTGGAATAAGCTCTAAAAGAAAGTTGCATCTTGGTTGCATAAGCGCAACAAGGAAAATATGTATGCTCAAAGGTGTTTCCTTCCTAGCAAAAGATGAGCGAGCACTGCTGATTTGCCCACCAGTACTAGACTTTAAAAATATTGCATCAGTACACACACAGACACATACATATATAGAACACATACAATTTAAAATATATCTGAGCTCAGCAGCAATAATTCTTTCTTAGTGCCAAGGATGTCTTTAAGAAGTCTCCGGTGTCTGAAGATTGACTAACAATACCATGTTTTGGACGGAAGTACCTACATTTCTGCCAAATCTTCCATCATTCCAGCGAGATGGATCTTTGAGATTTGTTTCCTACAGCTGGGTTAAATAATCATTTATTACAGGACAGCTCCCCTGGGCAACATAGTCAATAAAACATTTGGATAAAACAAGCTACGCTGGGGCATTTCTGATAAGAACAAATGAAATATAACTGCATAGAAGACAAAAGAAGGCAAGTCTAATTGCATTTTGGCAGAAGTGAAAGCCGCCAAGTCTGCTTCCATTTAAACATGTTTAGGGTCAGGTTTTTAAAATAGGTTGACATAAAGAATTCTTGGCTCCCTGATCACAACAGGTGGGTGCCCATCTTAACATAATTTATCTATTGAAACATTTCTATGTTGTCTTTTGCTCCACAAAGGGGTTTACAGAAATAAATATTTTAATAAAATAAACTTTGATTTTTAAAATCCAGAATTATATATAATATAGAGGAGTGACATCTGGTACAATGAAAATACATTAAAAGCTTAGAAGAATAAAACTCTCTTAACTACCTAGCTAGAAATCATGAATGCCATTCTAACCTCTCTTGATACAAAATTTGTGGGGCACAAGTGGGGCACTGCCACCAACGAGGCTCTATCTCAAGTTTCCTTCAACCACCCATATCTTGGTGGTAGTAAGGTCTCCATAGATTATCATAACTGATAAGAAGGTCCACGTAGGAGGAGGCAATTCTTCATTTAACCTGGTCCCAAGCCATTTGGGGTACTCCAGTAATAACCAGCAATTTGAATATTAGACCTTTTAGTGTAAATCAGAACTGATGAAGAGATCATTCAAAGATCAGATGCTGAACTAACACAAGATCAACATTCAAGTTACGATCATTTGACATTCAACTTTGCATATTTCATGGCCATCATCTCAGATCTAAATAGACATCTTTTAAATTTAAATAGATGAAAATAATCACAGCATTAGTTACTTGCTGAAGTTTCCAGTTTGCGTTTATGAGGTGGGTCTTCAATGATTCTGTTAATATCACCACGATTCTTTAGATCCACAGGCTTCTCCCATACTGACAACTGCATTGTAGGGTTGAAGAAGAAGACTCGGTCATCTCCAGTCCAGACTATACACCTATTTCAATCAACAAACTAGGCTTAGAGAATCTCAAATACAGTGTGGGAAGAAAGATATTTCTTGCAGTGCTAATTCTAGTCTTATGCTGGCGTTCCCAGCCATGGTTCTAAAGAAAGTAGGTCTAATGCATGGTGACCCCACCTGCTGCTTTGAATTCCCATTATCTGGCCAGGCTGTGTAGATTCTCCTTGCAATTTGGAACAATGATTGCACACAGAGCTTTCATGTGTAAAAAATAGCTCCACACTTCAGACCTTTTCCCTCCAGTGTGTGGAGGGGAGCACAGTTGGTGGGCAATATGGACAGAAAGGAAGGGTTGGGCCAGTATGTACAGTTTAGGCCAGCAAGGTGCTGAACAGAATAGGACTTTGGTATTTTCCATAAGTGAATGCATATTCCATCCATAGTTCCACATTCATGTGCAGCTGTTGGAGGCTGCTGACTTGTTCACATCAGTGCCATGGTGAGGGCTATTTAACCCTTACCCCTTGGCCATTTTCCAAATAAATGCCACCTCCCCAGAGTTGCTGCTATCCCAAGAATGATAAATGCAATTTGCTCCTGCAGGGGAAAGGGAGCATCTTGGGGAGGACAAATTTGGTCATGGTAATGGTACACGGGTGGCAAAAGCTGAACACCGCTGCCGCCACCATTGAACTAATAGGCAATCTGCCCACCATGACTACATTTTAGAAGATCTGTCATGGATTTGTCATGTATAGTTTGGACCTTAAAAAAAATCCATAGACCCAATAATATATTTTTATACAAGCATGTAATGCAATAATAGGATGTAAACTTTGCAAAAGCCCCAGCAGGGCTGTTGGAAGAAATTTCATTGTTTCATGACCCTGGTATATGTTAAGAAATCATCACTCACAATTATCAGCACATTTTCACAACTAGTAATTGTAATTGCCATAATAATAGGTTACTACTGAAACACAGTATGGTAAAGAAAGAAATACTTTTTTTTTAAAGGCCATGGTTCATTTCTAAATTGATGCAGGCTGGTGGGACAAAGGAGTCTCCAGCTGTTTTGCATGATGTATGCCATATATAATCAATCTACCAGCTATATTTATCAATCCATGCCAGGGGTAGATGGGGTGAAATGAACAATAACCAAATATACATTGTACAAACATTTATAAGGGATTATAAGGGTAGGCATCACTAGATTCATTTCACTAACAACTGAAATGAATCTAAAATCCAATAGAAAGCCAGCAGAATTTAGATAACAAAGTCAATTTTGGGATTAAAGCAGATTTCTAAAATTTGAACTTCAGAGTATGAATATAAGTGTCATTGGAAAAATATATATTAAACTTTCACAAAATGTTATTTTATTACCAATCATAAATATTCCACAGGGGCACAAAAAACCCCTTAAGCTCTTATCTGTATGGTAGGTGTCGGATGGAGGAAGGAAGCTAGATTTCAGAATGAAAGCTTGCATATAAATGAAAGATTAATAAAGATTAAGCAGTAGGAAGATGGAATTAGTTTTCACATAATAAATTAGGAGTAATGAAATTACAGCAAAATGTTACTGAAATTATTGGTGCTAATGGCCTAATGGCTTTGGAAAGAAATTTACTGGGCAATTTTCAAACATGTTATCTGTGATAAAGTATTTTTTTCATCTCCAGATTAAAGAAGAGAAGACTCAGTTTAAAATTATTGTTCTGGTTGAACTATGAATTGGATAAACATTTTATACTGTGATTTTTGTAATAATGTTTAATGGAAATTTTATGATTGTTTTTGTGCATGTTTCGGAAGCATGGTTCTTAATTCCACTACCAACCCTGTTAATCAACTCAGAAACTGTAAGCACATCATTGACCAGGTTTTTAGCTCATAGTAGATCACACTGAAGTTGATAGAAAGCTTAAGGAGCAGAAACTAAAGTACTATAAATATCGTGGCCATGGAAGCATGCACATTAAGGAACCAGCATGTGATGTGAGAACAGGAGGATAAATCAGTACTTAATTGATTTAACATAAGATTAAACGTACTGTCTCAGTAAAATAAATATCTGGATTATATGAAGAATAATATTCAGTGCCACCAATGAATGCATAAACACTCATATTATTAGTGTCAGTAACAATCGGGGGCGGAGACCTCTGCATATGGCTTTCTATGGATGTTCTCATATACCAGTTAAGAATTTGTAAGCCTTTCCTCCCATGCCCTATAGCTAATCGAAACCATAGAGCTGCTATTAACCTTGCGTGGGGCTGGCACAGCATCCTGCCTGTCTCTTCACAACCAATGGGACTAATAGCTGCTTCAGTTTTGGACAAAGGAAAATGGCAGCCTCAGACAAATGAGCAGGCCTCACAAACTGCTTTGAATTAGCAAATAACCACAGGGGATCCTGATCACAGATCTTCTAAATCATCTCAAAGTAAGCCATTAGTTCAGCTCAAAGCAAAGGGCTAAAACTGGAGAAACTCAAAAGAATGCTTGAGGAACTAAATATTGGCAAATTTCAACAAGAACTGAGCTGATCCACACCTCGCAAATGGACTAATGTGCACATCTGCTGGCTTTTGCACTTCCAGAATGTTCAGGTGCAATTCTTGACTTAAAAACAACAACAACAACAATTTATTATTTATACCCCACCCATCTGGCTGGGTTTCCCCAGCCACTCTGGGCAGCTTCCAGTAAAATAGTAAAATACAATAATTATTAATATTATCAAATATTAAAATCTTCCCTAAACAGGGCTGCCTTCAGATCTTTTCTAAAAGTCAGGTAGTTGTTTATTTCTTTGACATTTGATGGGAGGGTGTTCCACAGGGACTACATCAAGATGCATGTAAGAATGAAGCTTTAAAGAGAAAATATATTTAGAAATGCATATTTTGCAGGGAGAAGTAGGCATTTTAAAATAGGACTTAATATGATTGTACTAATGAACTTATGGGTGAACAGAGGCAAAAGTGCTTGAAATAGACTGATTCACCTATCCCTAGAACTATGAAGTGGCACAGCCTATCAGATCTATGACTTCAAGAAATAGCTGGGCTTTCTGTTTTGCGGCAGGGGTGGGAAGGCTTGCAACTGTACTTATTATGCTGATTTTATTGCTTGGCTTGTATTGTTCATTGTATTTTATGGTGAACTACCCTAGCAGCCCCTTAGAAGGAATATAAGGATATGAACTAAATACATAAAATAAAAGCTAATAAATATTCAGAGCTGTAGATAAGTGTCGCAAATAAGATACAATTTCCAAGCAGTTAGAGATAAGGGTGGGCAAGCCCCCTGTGGATGGCATTGGAAATAAGCTGAGCCATGTTCCAAACAATCAGGAAACGGTCTAATTCATTTCCAAGCCAAGCCAAATTTTGCCCCTGATCTGCATCCACTAAAACAGAAAGTGGGAAGAGGGCCCCCCAACTCCTGCAGAATGGTGAGGCAAGAAGATTCTCACTAAGGGTGGCCCATCCTGTTTTGCCACCTGAGGCACAATGGGAATGTGCCACTACTGGCCTACCCTCCCTGCCATCATGTCCCACTTCCCATTTTCATCATGGCCATTTCTTTTCTTTTCTTTTCTTTCTTTTTTTGATCCATTTATTGATGTTTCAATGCATGTACATAATATTGACATAGAATTTCATATTTCTCATATTTATACATTCACATTTTCTATTACATTCTAAATCCACATTTAGTTTTTACTTAATTATTCCATGCTTTCCCCCCTTGTGACTCAAAGACTTCCCTCCACCCGTGCATGACTTCCTAGCTTTGTTTTAAGATTTATTATTGTGTTTGTACTGTGGTATTTACATTTATTCTTGTATTTCTATCTATATTGACTTTGTGAGATCAATTGATTGATTGATCTCATGGCCATTTCTTTTCGCCTGCCCTGGGGCAACACTGTGCTAGAGGTGCCAACTCATGGGGCCCAAACTGCTTTGCCCCCCATATCTTTTGGGATGGGGCGCTCCCCTCCCCAATGTCTAGGGGGCAAAGGAAGCCGAGCACAGAGCCGAGCACAGCACAGTTTCAATGGCTGGCTCCTCCTCCTCGTCCTCCTTCTGCCATGGAAGAAGGCCAAGCACAAGAGAGGAAGGCCACTGGCCATTGAAGCCACGCAGCACTTGGCTCTGCACCTGGCTTACTCCCGATGTGACATCACATATGCAGTATGGGAAAGAAGAAATAAAACTTTCGCGAGCTACTTGAATAGGAAGCCGATGAACTAATTGTTTGGAAAGGGAGAGCAGCAGTATCTCATCTCAAGCATGATATTAAACTTAGCCATCTTCAAGGGTGACCATTTTGCACATTATACTTTACTATTTTGCTTTTGCAATGGAGGAATACACATGAAAGTAGAAGACGGCAGGCATTTATCTATTCACTGTCAGTGAGCTCAATGTAATATCCATTGTAATATACATATACAATGTTTGCCTTGGAGCCAACACATTGAGTTCTGAGAGCTAATTCTAAACTAAAGAGGGAAAGCCTCAGTCTTTTAAGTAGTGGGATGTTAAGAGACGCACAGGAGTAAAATCTTCTGAAGCCTTTTTGCCAATAAAATTCTTGATCATTTCCCTGTCTTGGAAATTTTGATCATTTCACAATTCATTCTCTCCTCTGTTTCTAAATTCCACTTCTCTGGTCTGCGTTTTCACTGCCATGGATGATAAGAGAATTGATTACCACCAAAAACGCACATTCATTGTGTGGACCATTACCACTGGGCTGGCTGAAGTCGAGGTATTTATTTAATAAAAGCAAGGTAATAGCTAAAATAGAAACGGTCCTTTTCCACATCTAACTGAAAAACCCAGCAAGCCCCTCTGGAGAGGTGCTTAGAAATGGATCCAAATGGCAGCTCCCTCTAGAAATGCCTTCACTTTCTCACTTCTAACCCAATTTGACATTTAATTTAACCATTATCGGTCTCATCTCCCAGAATCGCACACTGCTTGTCCCTATTTGGCATAATAAAGGTTTCAATTATCCAAATGCAAAAGTATGGTAATTTGTTTCACTCACAGGACACTAATTAAAAAAGGTGGCGATAGAAGAATTTTATATAAAAAACTAAGGCTACAATACTAAGCACACTTAATCAGATTTAAGTACCATTGTGTTCAGTGGGTGTAGGACTGACATGTTTAGGATCACACTGCAAAGGTATAAACTTCAGAAAATAGTTCTAAAAGCACTAATTATTTGATGTAACAAACTTCTGGGTTTTTTTTTTAATCATCTTCATCTGAGAAAGTGGGGTTTAGTCCACAAAAATGGACACCACAGTTAATAGTCTTCAAGATGCCACAAGGCTCCTTCCTTGATAGTTAAGATTAGCTTTTTAAAAACAAAACTCCTGGTTTATAGCCTGAGTTTAACTTGGATTATCGCCTTCTGTATCACACATTCTTCATTCATTTTGCAATAGCAAAATGTCCTCCAAGTGGTCTTTGAGGTAAACCTATGTCTGATTTTGTTTTGTTTTGTTTTGTTTTAATCTGCAATGTTATCAACACTCAAAAGTTCATATCTGCTAGAGATGAACATCTATTGCCTCCTCAGTGATTAATCAACTGTGCTGATTATTCTACGCATGTGTAGTTAGAAGTTCCACTGTGTTCAGTGGGTCTTACTCCTTAACCAATGTAGGGTTGCAGCTTTAACTATAAAGACCCTGGAGCAGCAGCTGAACCCTAAATAATTTAAAGCTCTATTTTAAATAAGGCATTCCAACAAGCCTCCCCCCCAAAAAGGACTGTGATCTTCAGGGGGCACAAACAAAAACTACAGGGATTGTCCCTGGAAAGTACAGAGCTGCCATATGTCCAGATTTTCCCAAACATTCAAAGGCGGAATTGGCATCTGGGGGGAATTTCTGAAAGGCAGCACTTTGTCCTGGATCTTAAGGAAGTCAATTGAAAAATTGCATTTTTTGCAAACTTTTTGAAATATGGCAAGCCCAGGAAAGAAGGAACACCTGGATCACCTGATAGTGCTTGTGACTGAATCAAATGCTAGTTAAACGGCATCAATGCTGAGGAAAATAAGTATTGTCTGGAGGGAACAAGAAATATCAGCAATAATTGAATCATAGAGTTGGAAAGAACCAAAACAATTGCCTCTCAATTGAAAGGATCTAAGTAAAGGAGGGGGGTTCCTTTTGGAACTTGCATTCTTAAACTTGTTTATAAATGATATGAAGTTTGGAGTGAGCAGTAAGAGGTCAAGTTTGCTGATGAGACCATTATTCAGGGTATTAAAAAAATTGCAAGGAGCTCCAAAAGAATATCTCCAAATGGGATAAAACAGAATTAAAATGACAAATGAGGTTCAATGTAGGCAATTATAAAGTGATGTACAAGGGGGTAAAAAACATCCCAACCACATATACTGAAGTGGCAGTGACTGACCAGGAAAGAAATATTGGGATCATGATAGATAGCTTGATAAAAATTTGAGCTAGTGTGTTACAGAGGAGAAGGAGGTGGAGGAGGAGGAGGAGGAGGAGGAGAAGAAAGGCAAATTCCATGTTGGAATTTTAAGCATTTAAATATAAAATTGTCACTGTTATAATGCCGAACACAACAAATTTATAGAGCAGTCACACTTGGAATGATATTGCAGTTGTTGTGAATCACAGGGAATGAGAGTACTGTTGCGCTTGGCGTCTGGGGAACACAAGCAGTGCGACTGTACCAATATCCTGCTTGCAGGCTTCCCATAAGCATCTGGTTGGCCACTGCAAAACTGGATTGATCTTATTCTGTTCTTGTCTAGTACAGACCCCTGCTGATGCCGGAACTCCTGAAAGGTGGCCACCCAGCCTCTAATTAAAAATCCCTTACACAGGGAAGACTACTTCCTTCCAAGGCCATCTATTTCAGGAGCAACGTACATAACCATTAGCCAACCAATTCACTGTAAACACAAAGAAGACCCTAGTGGCATTTTAAGAACCAAGGGTGTGATCTTATTAGGACTTACTTAGGATTACATCCCATTAACTGCTGCGGGACTTCCACTTAAATGTGTATAGGGAAAAGCTGTAACACCTTTATTGTGGTATAAAATTTTGTGAACTAGAGTCCACTTCATCAAATGCATGAAGCATGAGCCTCAGTAGGGAGATATACATAGATATAGCAATTAAGATAGATAGATAGATGATAGATAGATAGATAGAACGTGGCTAATGAGCAAGGATTATGGGAGTTGTAGTTCAGCAACATGTGGAGGACCAAAAATTCTGGTATATAGGAAACCTGGTATATAGGGAAATAAATTATGACATCAAGCTATAAACAGTTTGACTCTACTAAACAGGATTTCAATACACTGTGGATTAATAAAAAGGAACTGAGGTGTATTATGAGGTTTAAAACTACCATGTAGGACGCAGAGATCCATATTTTGAACCACTGAGAACAAGGAAAAAGGAAATATGTTGCTTATTAACCTAATTCATACATCCACTCTAAATATCTTCATAATGGCACACACATTCCTCTAAGCAAATGCAATGACCTATTTATGTTCTTTTAATGTACCTAGAAGACGGAAAACATCATTTTCCTTAAGGTATTTTGCCTGTATGTGAATTGTGAATATGATGCATTAGTTGCTATGACTATTCCATGGCCTTGCAGTATGCCATAAATCATAGAATTGTAGAGATGGAAGTGACCCTAAGTATCATCTAGTCCAATCCCCTGAAATGAAGAAATCTCAAAACATGGTCCCCCATCCAATTTGGAACCAAACCGAACCCTGCTTAGCTTTGCAACTGTGTTAGCTGCACTGCTAAAGGGAGCAAATATGGGTGGGGCAGGCTGCACAGAAGCAATCAGAAACTCACCTTTTAATCTGCTTTAAGCTATACAACCTGGAGTCCCTCTCAAAATTCCTGCTCTTGTTTCCGAATGACATCCCAGCCTATGCCTGGTAATGTCACATCAACCACAGAAGCATGGAGCCAACCTACGAGTGGAGAGGGTTGGGGATCAATTCCAGGTTTTTACTGGGTGTAGTAATATTTCATAAATATTTTGATTTTCTATCTAAATAGGCATGAATTAATAAAATGCTCCTTAAAGGATCGCTCCATGTTTCAGTGTGATTCTGTGATAGATTATCAGGTGGAATCAGCTTGATGTTAAGTGTCAGGTTATTATTCTTATTATTATTATCATCATCAAATTGAGTCTCTATGGTTCTATTGGGTATTCTGCCATGATTAATGTTATTCCTTTGTGATATTATGGATTTTTTTTACAGTATTGTTATGAATCAGAGTTCTGAATTAAGGTTGGGATGTTAGAACCGGGAAATAGCCAGATTAATGTGTGATTAAGAGGGGAAACAAGGGTGTAGTAAGAGTTGTTGTGGACCCACAGATAAGCCTCTGTTATTAGCATATGTGAAAGCTAATTAAATCAGGCAGACATTTTAAGACATGACCCCTCCTTAATCCTAGGAAATTAACATGAGTCAGCCACTAATTGAGTGAGGCAAACTTCCTTGAGATGATAGCCTGGTAGGGAGCATGGGATAAACAATTGGGAAGTTCAGATCATCCAAGGGGCTAGGCGTGAAATGCACAAATTGAATAGGCTTCTTCGCTTCTTTAGGCGATAAAAGTTGAGAGTTTAGAGTGACAGGGAGGAGTTAAGAAACAGTTACTAAGCAGTGGGCTGGAGAGTCAAAAAAGCAGGATGCTGGTGCCTGTTTTGAATCCAATGTTGTGGCTGTGGGAGAGGTCAGAATCTCTTGGAATATAATGCTGGAGATCCCTCCACTGGATTCAGGTAGTATATATGTGCAAATAAACCATATATCATAAAGGCATCACAGACTCTGTTGTGCCTAACTGTCCAAATGGGAACACAGACTCTGGTTAGCACGCCTGGTACCCCTGGAATTTCATACCGCTTGGAGATTGGAGTGGCATGTAACTTTATGGAAGCATGGAAGTTGTCATGATAACAACAGCTAAAAATGGGAATCAGCATGATGCACAAATGGAAGTGTTTTTGTCTTAACACCAAGATAGGGTTGCATCCTGCCATTCTGCTCATGCAACAGACTTCCTCTTGTACAATGGAACTTCGCCTACTCCCCTGCAGCTCCTAAGCATCCTCAGAACCTGATACAATGAATGAAAGAGGATGGGGAAGTTCTGTTGCAGTATTAGATACTGTACAACCCGGAAATATCATTTCTCAAGAAGCAGAACAGATCCCAGGTGTCCCTAGACATTTTATCTGGGCTGCTGTGTAACTGACAGCACAATCCTGTGCATGTTTTCCTGGAAGTAAGTGTCACCGAGTTCAAGAAGACATACTTCTAGGTACGTGTACCATAATTTTGAGATTTTGGTATATATATTAAATCTTATTTTTTCCAGTACTTAATGTGGACTTTTAACTAGGCATCCATTCTGAATTTTAGGAATAGAGCAGGTTTAAATACAAAAATGTATTGATTACATTTTTTTGCACAGTTATGAGACCAGTAGCAAAAAGTCACAGTGATAGTTTTGGAAGGGAAATTGTGAAACATGCCATTATGTCCAAGATATTTGTTTCTCCTCTGTTTCATTGGCCATGGCAAAACAGACCCTCCATTTGGGTGGCAATAGTGCTGATAGGATGAGTGAAACTATCTGGAGTAGATATGCTTACCATGGAGATCCTGGCACAGGAGTGGATGCCACAGGCTTGTTGCCATTTGAAGAATTGTCATCGTCTGGGAGCAGTTTTAAAGGGTGATTCTTCACATGGAAAAATAGAATTGATCAACAAAAGACATGTTAAGTATAATTGGTTTAATTGACACAGAAATGGAAAATGCCTCTGTGTTAATGAAGGTTTAACGTTCAATCTTTAGAGTTGATAATTAACAAATTGTTGTTTTCTGCTAGCTAACGTGTGAGTGTTGCAACCTTAGTTCAGGTGACAAAGGTACTGAGTTGCAAATAGCCATTTTGGATGGTCTTTTGTCTCAAAACACTGTGGAGTGAAGATGTAAATAAAAGATGTAAATGAAGCTCTCAATGAAAACAGCTCCAGGTGAAATGGAGAGAGAGAGAGAGCACTTTGCTTATAGGTCTGTTTGGATTTTTTCATATTTTGTTAGATGCTGAACTGATTATGCTTGGTCAAGCATATGTCTTATGGATAATTTGGCTGTATCTTTGATTATTTTGTTCTGTTTTGAAGAGTTCTTCAAGTAAAACTTTGAACAATATTTTTATGGGTCTTGACAAGGTTTATTTCCAAAAAGAGTCATTTATTATGCATCCACTCACTTCATGCTTCACAATATTAATATCTGCAATAATCATTATACTACGTGCTTCACTTCAACTTGCAGTCACTATTGAAATTAAGCATATGCTATTTTGCACTCGTATGAACAATACATCAACCTATAAGGAACTTAGCAGGGAGCAATAAACAATATAAAAGAACTAGAAAGAGATGAATAGAAAGGTAATTGTAGTCCTGTACTTAATCTTGATAATAACATACTTATGTACAAAATACCAAAAAAAAAAAGTGTATATAGATAAAACGATTGTCGGGATTGTTACAGAAAAGAACCACTCTACATCAGATGTTATGACTCAATCCTATTGTGCATTTCAATGAAATTATTATTTTACCATTCATGTATTTGCAACCATCACATCTAGTTCCATTTCCATTTCAGGTGGGGTGGGGTGGGGATGTTATTGTTATTTATTGTTTGTAAGCCACTTTGGGAGTCATTTGAATTAAAAGCGGCATAGAAAAATAATAAATCCAATCACATTATGCTAGGTTTTAGGTGAGAAAAAGGATTTAAACCTTGGTCCATCGAATTCCAGAAACCTTATTCACTGCGCCACACATTAATTTATAAATTGCTCTGTGATGCTTCTTCAATGTCACCCTATTATTACTTTCCTAAGGGGCAATCCTGTGCAACAAAATACTACAAATAAACCGGAACGTACGTGGTATAAAAAATTACAGGGTTTCAGCAGAACATTTTGGAAATGAAGCAGTACGACCACCCTGAAATGTTAGCAGGCATAAACAGTACTGAAAGTGGAATCATATATAACTGCCCCAATATGAGCACAAATAATCATTAATGCCCAATAAAAAGGACATCTGAGTGCCCCCCCTTAACCTTTCACAGGATTTGACTTTTTCACATGCTAAGCACCTCACGCGGTTGTACAAAATGCACGACAGCATTTATCTATCCAGTTCCACTGTCACAACTTTTATGAAGGTCATAGCCTGTTCATTTATGCTAGTGGCTTAAAGAATGAGTGAGTGAATAGAAGGAGAAGGCAGGTCCATAAAGGGCTACAGCTTGACAGTGCTTTTTCTTTAAGCACTGTAGGACACTTAGAGAGTGCTCTTCAAAATTACTTCATGGATTCTTGTAGCATTTAAGAGTGCCTCTGCAGGCCAGTGGAGAGATGAAGACACAGAGCAATGTTGATGTGAAACATGTACTTCCATAAATCCACAAGGACTCTGCAAGGCCTATGGAGAGGCAAAACCTAGAAAATGAGGGGAAATGTATTGATCAAGTACCTCTGTTCAACCTTCTGTTAAAACAAAAACAGTGAAGGCTGAAATATGTGGAGAGGCTGAGGAAATTCCAGCAGGGATCCTCCTTAGTTTGAGAAAATGGCAGAGCCAGTATCTTTCTGCTGGAAACAAGAGGAAGTTTCAGGCAACAAATGCAGGTTTACTGACTTATGGAAGCGTAGCAGATTCTGATGACAGACCTTGTGTGCATTCAGGACTGCATTTTGTGAGAAAAATACAGTTAGAAATGTAATTTTTGAGGGGAAAGACTGCCCCTGAAATCCATTCAAATGTGTCATATGGTGCAGAATGCAGTATCTGGAGTTCTGACTGACATTACTTGTCCAGGTCATATAATGCCAGTCTTAAAAGAACTCAGTTGGCTGACTATTCATGTTCAAGCTGAATTTAAGGTGCCAGCACCTTAAACCCCTCAGTTTTTGGGGGATCTAAGCCTTTCCTCCCATATCAACCTGCCTACACAGTAAAGGCAATGACTTTCTCCAAATACCAACTGGATCAGAAGTGAGGTTTGTTACAATAAGAGGGCTTTTAAGCTCCATCTATCAATTGCCCTCCTCAAGGAGGTATGCCTGACACCAACTTTGCTATTTTTTAGGGACTTATTCTTTTTTTTAAAAAAAAAAAAGTCACCCAGGCATTTAAAATATTTGAATTATTAGATCTGAAGTACTGAAAACTCTCTAACTTTTAATTGTGTTCTTACCTGCTGGTTTTTTTTGTTCATATTAATTGTTTTGAGATTTAATTTATAGACAGCGAAGAAATAATTAAATTGTGTGTGTATGTGTGTGTGTGTGTGTGTGTGTCTGGTGTGCAGAACAGTTTTGGCTTCAGTAAATATTCAGTCACCAATGTGCAGTTTTAAATGGTATAGTCTCATGAATTTTGAAACTTGAGATCTATCTGAATCTTTTCCCTGGTTCCCATGTGCAGTGAGGGGGGAAGGTACCGGTATTTGACCCCCTGCTAAATTTGCCCGTTTGCCCTTTGACGAAGAAATGACCAGTCCATAATTTTAATGGTAGGTTTAGTGTAGCTGTGAGAGACAGAATAACAACAGGAAAACCCCCAGAAACTCAGAAGACAAAAGTCAGAGATTCATTGTAATGAGTGAAATAAGTATTTGATCCCCTATCAACCAGCCAGATGTCAGGCTACCTGGTATCTTCAGTGTATGTAACGAGCTGAGATTAGAAACACCTGCTGTAAGGAACATGTTTTACCTGTAATCCCAGCTCGTTACAGTACGTGTACAAAAGATACCTGTCGACAGAAGCAATCAATCCAGCAGATTCCAAAGTAGCTACCATGACCAAGACCAAAGAGCTGTCCAAGGATGTCAGGGTCAAGATTGTAGACCTGCACAAGGCTGGACTGGGCTACAAGACTATTGCCAAGCAGCCTGGTGAGAAGGTGACAACAGTTGGTGCGATAATTCTCAAATGGAAGAAACACAAAATAACTGTCAACCTCCCTCGGTCTGGGGCTCCATGCAAGATCTCATCTCATGGAGTTGTGATGATCAGGAGAAAGGTGATGAAGCAGCCCAGAACTACATGGGGGGAACTTGTCAATGATCTCAGGGCAGCTGGGACCATAGTCACCATGAAAACAGTTGATAACACACTACGCAGTGAAGGACTGAGATCTTGCAGAGCCTGCGAAGTCCCCTTGCTCAAGACAGCACATGTACAGGCCCATCTGCAGTTTGCCAATGCACATCTGAATGACCCAGAGGAGAACTGGGTGAAAGTGTTGTGGTCAGATGAAACCAAAATCGAGCTCTTTGGCATCAACTCAACTCACCGTGTTTGGAGGAGGAGGAATGCTGCCTATGACCCCAAGAACACCATCCCCACCATCAAACATGGAGGGGGACATATTATGCTTTGGGGGTGTTTTTATGCTAAGGGGACAGGACGCCTTCACCGCATCAAAGGGGCGATGGACGGGACCATGTATCGTCAAATCTTGGGTGAGCACCTCCTGTTAGTTTATTCAGCTCCGGCCCTTGAGCTGATACGGCTCATCTTGATCCTGAGCCCAGCAGAGTTTAATCCCAGTCCACAAACGAAAGGATGAAGCAGGTAAGGTGCTACATTGCTATGCTTTATTCCTAAGCTATATCGAGAACACACAAATGTGCATCTTGCCTCTGTGAGAGCAGAGAGCAATCCCAACAAAGAACGACAGAACAAAGCAGTAAACAGGAAACCAGTGAACGTCACATCCAGTCTCCCTTTCCCGTGGGAACCCAACAGTAACTTGACTGTGGAATGAAAACATAGTCCCATGACTTGCAGCTGCTGCTCAGTGAGGGAAACAGAAACCAAACCTCCTTCCCTCAGCCAGGGCATTGAAAATGGGTCGAGGATGGGTATTCCAGCATGACAGTGACCCAAAACACACAGTCAAGGCAACAAAGGGGTGGCTCAAGAAGAAGCACATTAAGGTCCTGGACTGGCCTAGCCAGTCTCCAGACCTTAATCCCATCAAACATCTGTGGAGGGAGCTGAAGGTTCGAGTAGCTACACATCAGCCTCAAAATCTTACTGACTTGGAGAGGATCTGCAAAGAGGAGTGGGGCAAAATACCTCCTGAGATGTGTGCAAACCTGGTGGCCACCTACAAGAAATGTCTGACCTCTGTAATTGCCAACAAGGGTTTTGCCACCAAGTACTAAGTCATCTTTTGCAAAGAGATCAAATAATTATTTCACTCATTATAATGCACATCAATCTCTGACTTTTGTCTTCTGGGTTTCTGGGGGTTTTCCTGTTGTTATTCTGTCTCTCACAGCTACAATAAACCAACCATTAAAATTATGGACCAGTCATTTCTTCATCAGAGGGCAAACAGGCAAAATTAGTAGGGGATCAAATACTTTCCCCCCTCACTTTATGACCAGGGCTTCTGAAACAGATAAATAGTACAATGCATTCTTGAAACTTACACAAAGGAATTTGGTACATTGAAAAGCAAAATCTATGGAACAAACCCTTGCTATCTGTTTGATTTCTGCAGATAAATATCTACCCCCAATATGAATAATATAATGAGAAACAAACCTTCTCATCTTCACTCTCTGTTGGCTTATTTTTCATTTCAGTATGTAGAATCAGGGTTGGCGGGCAGGAGGTCCTGTTTGATTCTTTGCCTTTATCCGAAACTGAAACACAAAAGTAATTGGATCCAATAAGTGACTATATCCCACTGAGCTGTCAACGACTTATATTTTCCCCATTATTTGGGGTTTTTACAGTTTAACTGAAAAAGCTTGTTAGGCAGACGTACAAAAAAGTTGCCCCCCACCCATGATTAAATTATGTTGCACTTAGAAAATGTGCATCTCTGCAATACCCAACACTTTGTTGTCAGAATATGGTTTTCCTCATGGAGGTACAAAACCAGTCATAATGAAATGTGCCAGAGAACATTAGCCATTGCTTCTTGAAATTGCTGAAGTAGAACTATACGATCAAGAAAACTTTTTTCACTAGTTACTTCTGGCAATGGATTGGAACATCATAACATTCACATAGCCCTTGAATAACGTGTCTCTGTAGAGCTAATCCAGAGATGTCTAGCATGGTCCTTAGGTCAGCAGGTGTTATATATTCCAGGACAAAGAAGGAAATCTGTGGCTCATGTGTCCTACCTAAACTTCATGTATGATACAGTCGTGGTGAGGTGTAAGAGCAGATCTTAGGCTCATGCACTCACCCATATTGCATGTATAGTTGTCAATATTAAGCAGGCTCGCTTATTCAGATATTACATAAATGATACTCATTTTTTTTTAATTTTCTAACCATAGAATTTTGTTTCTGCAAGCACAGTGAGAAGGTGCATGATTTGAGCTTTGCTCCTCTGCTGTAGCACATAATGGTTTTCATACACATTACGTTGAAACCATAACCAATTTGCCTTGTTGATTCCAATGGAACGAGTGCATGTGTGTGTACTACAGGTTTCATGCTTACAGAATAAAATATAGTTATTTATTATTTGCTTTATTTTTATTTACTTAACAATATTATGTACCAATTAATTAAGCAGTCTACATAGTACAATATAAAAATATTCAAAATAAAATACCAATAAAAGACAGGCATAAACATGGTCAAAATTTGGATAAAAACCAGCAGTTCTGAAACGAATATACACAACAAAATTACATGTCTAGGTACACTTCCCTAAACAAAAAAAAGGCTTTAGTAGATAATGAAAACAAAACATTAGCAGGTGCCTGCCTTATCTGCCATTGTATAGAAATGGCTGGAATATTACACAAAAATTGGGGGTAAATAAGTAAGTAATAGAAAATAAAGGCATGAAAGAGACAGCTCTTATGCTCTGAGTTGAGTCCCAATTGAAACCATATATCTGACAACTCGACTTATCAAGTTATCTATAAAATAACTTGACTTTGGTGGTCTGCTTCAAAAGAAGCCAGCAAATTAAATCCCATCTCTCTTCCTCACCAGTGGCCTGCTGGCAGATGCTCCTTTCACAGAGAGAATGGCTGTGGGCATTGCTGCTAGTGCGGTGCATCAGCTGTGCACACAACATAGAAATCTCATTCACAATTTTGAAACTTCTGGTGCAAAGATAAAGAGATACCAGAGATGGGCTCTTAGGCTACTTAATCTTACTTTAACTCTGCAAATTGAGATTAGTGCTGGGACAAAACAGAACCACTGACAGGATGTTGGCAGGCACTCTGTTTTACAGCACTAAGGGCATTTCCCTTGGTAGTAGAAAACAATAGAGTTGCATTTCTTCCTAAACTTTCTAAAAATAAGTGAATCAGCCGGGGAATTAAGAGTCATCATCAGTTTTAAACATTTATCCCACCATATACATTTCTATATACATAAAACTGCAGTGATTTGCAGTGCTGCATCAAAATCCTGGATTTGTATAAAGTCAGGGAGGGAGGGAGGCAGGGAGGGAGAAACATAATGGTATACATATTTTAAAATGGTGGTTTTGAACAGTGGCAGGGATTTGAATAAAGTAGGGGTGATGGGACACAGAAGAGATGAGGGAGAGCTGGTAATATGGAGTGGGGGGAGCTTGAAGGAACTGTGAGGATATTGTGGGACTTTAAGGAGCTGTGAGGATATGAAGGGCTGAAGCAGGGCCAGCTTGAGACATTTTGGCACCTGAGGTGAACCACAAAATGGTGCTTCACTCCCTGCCAGGGAAGAAGGGGTGAGTGAAGATCTACACCAGGAACAAGGCAGGAATAAAGTTCTACATTGAGATTCACTGCCCCTGTGTATCCTGCCACCTGAGTTGATCACCTCGTCTTGCCTCATGTGTGACCTGGCCCTGTTCACGTCTAAAAAGTGATGCATTCCTATGTGAATGAAATGTGAAGTCTTTACTTCTGATTTCAAACCACTGAGCATGATCCAAATGAGCAGCAGAAGAAAAATCTCACAACCCATAAAGCTGGCAAGTGAGGGCAGACACAATCAGTCATCCAAATATTTCCATTCATATTTTGACAAGAGACAGCTGCTAATCAGCACTCAAAATTCATCGCAGTGTAAATGCAGTGAGAACGAGGAAATCATACTTTCACCAGCACTGACTTTTTTTATCTGACTCTGGAACACAAAGAATAGTGCTCGTCTCTTCCACACCTTCCTATACAGTGGTACCTCAGGTTAAGTACTTAATTCGTTCCGGAGGTCCGTACTTAACCTGAAACTG